AATTAATTAAGCAGCTAATTGGTTAATTAACTAATTATTAAAATTTCTCTGTTCGGTCTGTGGTGGCTTCTGAAGTCTCTGCAACGCTCTGTGATGGTTTCTAGAGACTCCATACATCATAATATAGACCGTAACAGAGAAGCTCCACAGACCATCAGTGGCCGTGATAGAGGAATTCCAGAAAAGAAGGTTCGCTGTGTTTCCCATTTTAATCCCATAGGGATTGCGCTAACAGCTTTTTGCACGAGCAGAGCGAATCATGTATTTCATCGGATTATAGTGGCTGAATCCAAAGATAAATGTTTACTCATTTAGTTTTTATTGTATTGCTAAGAAATTTATTTGGAATGTGTTTCCTACTTCGCTTTTGAAACCAACTTCGATAAAAAAAAACATGACATTACCAGTGTATTTACCATCCTTCTGCTTCATTTTATCACAAAAGAAGATATATAATCAAGTTGCTAAGCAATAGAATAGAGTCTAAACAAGTATATGTTTATCTCATAATCTAACTTTTCGAATTCTATAAAAATAAAACCTTCTCTATTTTGGTACAAAAAAATACAGAAATATTTAAAAGAATGCCTTTTACTAATTACATACACTTTGATACGCACTAAAACTATTTATATTCTTTAAACTTTATAACTTCTTAATCTAATGAAATAATATTTTGTTACTAGCCGTCTGATGATGAGTCAGGATGAAATAGTTTCATAAAATGTATAATCAAGCTTTTTATGATTGCTTTTTTTCTGCGAAAAAACCATTATATTATAATAAAAACTGCATTTATCTGATTAGCTAGCCATACGCTATTAAACTATATATCAATAGATGAGAGAAAAATATATCACTGGACTGATACTCATGATATCTGAATAAATAAAACAATTATACCCATATGTCCTTTAAATACTTGTCCAGGATCATATCGAAGAAAACGAAGACGTCCATTGAGTCCAACTAATTGATAACTGTTCCACTTGTCTGGTAAATATGATTTAATACGATCAAATAATTTTTTTGCCATATCAACATCATCAATAATACATCTATCATTATTGCGAACATCAGGCATGGAAACTTCGCGCACACCTACATTAACTAGTGCTGGCTTATAACAGCGTTCTTCTGTCAATTTAATCCATTCAGAACATTCTTCTTCTGTAAAAACGTTGAATAAAATAAATGCTAGTTTTCCTGAATCTTCTGAGTTTGGTAGTTTTACATCAAGTTTTTCAATGTTGCTATTTGTTGTCATTTTCAAACTGATATGTGTACTTCTGTTTTTCACATCGATTTATATTGACTCACTGATGAAATCTAAGAAAATTTGTCAACCTCCTTCAAACTTGTGTCAATAAACATACACCTTTCTCTTGTGAATATTTCTACGCAGAGTGACTCATAGATAGTGTGACGATAAGAAAAACATGAACTACGTTCACGTTGATTAAACATAATAGACTGGTTTATTCATCGGTGATCTGAACTTTTCAAATGTTTTTACTTTGAGACAGATAACATAAATAAATATTGCTTAACATTATGATAAAAATTTTATCTACTATAAAATACATAAAGATTCATGTATAGCGTTCGATAAATAAAGTTTAGTTTTTGATTTAGAAAAGTAGGAAGAAAACTTTAGAAAAAAAAACTTTATGAATTCTTTATTGATGTGCGAAACGAAATGAAACGAAACGAAATTTTCTAAAAGTGAACAAGTTACAATGTTAAAATTCTTAATCTATAAATCAAATACGTTTATATCGTTTTCAATCAGAAAAGAAACAATATTAAATATTTGATAATTCAAAATTATGTTAACGATAACATTTAAACTAACTGACTTTGTAAATTTTCTTTCTATGAATTAATACCGAATAGTTCATAAGATTCAATTTCGCTTGTTCGTATTATTTTCTTACATGACAACTGGATATTATCTATGAAACGTTACACTTGTATTTTTTTTGTACTTGATAACAGAGAACTTCTTTCATACTGCTAAAAATAATACTTCACATAATATACATACTTAGCTTATCTATTGAGAAAAAAATTGATTTCGAATTACTCTCTATCATTAACCATAAAACTCAGTCAATTTCATTGAATCAATGCAAATATATTTCATTCTATTTTCCGATGTTCTACTGACGACTCATTATGTATTTTATAAATCTATTTTTATTTCTAGTCTCATGCAAAATATGCTAACCCTATTAGCATAGCTTCATTTGATATAAATTTTGAAACGTTTCTATACAGATATTATATTAGAAAAAAAACTGTTAAAGCAGATATGAAACTACCACACTCATAAGTGTACCTAAAGATAACAACATTGATGTTCAGAATATTACATCTAGTTATATTTTTTTTTGCTTGTTAAATTTTATTAACGGACTACCCAGGTCGTGGACGTACGGCGGGAAACGGCCGGAAAGCACAGGAAAGCGCTGGAAAGTGGAAGCAGTATTCCTGTTGGAAGTTACCGGATTCCACAGGAAAAAATCCGGTAACTTCCAACTGGAATACTGCTTCCAGTTTCCAGCGCTTTCCCGTGCTTTCCGGCCAGATACGGTGATTTTTCCGCATCTTTCCGGTCGGTTCCTACAGTATCCGTCCTCCGGAGTCATTGACCTGGGTATTAGAGAGTTTTTTGTTGTTGGCTGCATTCAACGTAGTATTGATAGATCGTAAGATTTAAAGAAAAAACTTATCAGAAAGTCACAGCAATACATTTGATTAGAGAGGCTCTCGTATTTCCGTACAAAACACTTCATACTCAGCATCATCAAAGTGCCAACTACCGTTTAAAACAAAAAGAAAACACTTGAAACAATTACAGGTTACAAAGAAAACATCCATTAGATTCATAGTTGTTAGTATATAGTTTCCTCTTATTTTCATCTAGTAATCTTGTTGGAATGCCTTCCTTTATCAAAACTAGAAGCTATGCATTTAGATTTTTTACAACGCAATTCATGTTTAGTTACGAGAGGAAGTCACTAATACCTACTTATTTTGGCGTTTCTAGTTGATTATCATGATTTATTAAAGTTATAATCTTATTTTTATCTAAATAAATGTCTATAAATAGATTTGTATTTGCTAAAATGCTGCCATCGATATATCCATATATGTATATATAAATGAACTATATATACCCTTACTCAATGACTCACAATGTTTTCAGTTATTAGCGGAATTCAAAATGCGCTATAAATAATTGATAAAAAATATTTCACATCTGTTCATATCCAGGTCGAACAGTCCTGCCTGGCAACGGCCGGTTCCGAGTAGTTCCGTTGATTTTGTGGAAGCAGTATTCCGGTTGGAAATTTTTCCGGTGTTTTCCGATCAATTTCTGCCGGAAAGCACCGGAACTTGGCAGGAATTCGCCGGAAAAGTCCTGCCGTATTTTTGACCGGAATACTGCTTCCATGTTCCAGCGATTTCCCGTGTTTTCCTGCAGGATATGGTGACTTTTCCGCATATTCCCTGGAGTATCCTACTGGATCCGGTGGCCGGAATGTTCGACCTGGGTACATTGCAGTGTCCTGATAAATCCCGACGTGGACGTTCTTTGCAAATGATTTTTTCGCTGGAATCCTGACAAGTGCTGCGATGTATGCATCTGTTACACATTATGTTGGGGATAAAAAAAAAGAAGAGAAATTCATAGTTTTTCTTTGTCAAGATTTAGTTAAATAGTTGTTGCAAAGTTTATCATTCACAACATAAGCAGTATTACATAGAAAAATATGTATTTTGTTTAAATTTCATTTAAATTTATGATGTATTTGAATATTGTAACTTAAGCGAAGATGATATCTTCATGTTGGGAACTTTTTGGATTTCCAACAAAGAAAACAAATACACAAGAATGGGAAATAATTTCTAAATTTGCTAGTTGCGAATCATGCTTTCAAACTTCCCGGGTCGTTCATTCCGACAATCGGATCAAATCGGATCTGAAAATGGATTGCATCGGATCTTACATGAAAACCGACAAGAACCAATAGATTCCGTCGGATTCCGGGTCGAGATTCGAATCCACAGGATCGGAATCCGATACATATCCGATTGTATCCTACTCTGGGATCCGATGCGCCAAAAAGTCTGCTATACTTAACTTCTAAAAAGCTCTTTTGCACTAAATAGAATTTTGATATTTTTTAAAATTCTTCCGTCGGATCCGTCAATAGTTCTGAAACCTAGAATCCAACTGGATTTCCTCGGTTAGTAGGATGTTTTAGGATCCGATAGAATCCGTCGTCGGATTAGTCGACCTGGGTTACGCTTATAAACCTTATTCTGGTACGAGAATACTCAATTCTCATTCTTGTGTTCAAAAATTATTAAATAAAGATAAAGAAGGTTTATCAACAAGCGATAAAGGCATTCAAATGAAATTAGGAACAGTAATGAAATGTTACAAACAGATACAATTACCACAAAAAGCCATCAATTTAATTAAAAATTTAACATCTAAATGGTTATGTCAGGATATGCGAGCATTCTCTATTGTAAAGGATACTGGCTTAAGAAATTTATTACAAGAATTTATTATATTAAGTGAGTTAAAATTCATATCGTCTAGTCTCTCTTGAACTCATGTCTCGCTTCTATCTAAATGTGTTAGGTATGGTGAAATCGACCTAAAAAATGTTTTTCGTGGCGTCGACGTATGTAGTAAATATATATATATATATATGAATTAGCTGATGAATATCGTACAATATTAAAAGGTATATTAAAAGAGCCATATGAAAATAGATGTATTTGTATTTGTCCCGATTTGTGGCCTGATTCATATAAGCAAATAAGTTATATGGGAATCTCAATATCATTTGTTGATAAAGATTGTAATTATAAATCACTTGACTTGTGTTGTCGACCTTATATGGAAAGTGATCATAGTGACGCAAATATTCTTGTGGTAAGACTAACGCAATACTTTTATTGTTTATTTTTAACTTTGGCTTAAGTCGGAAGACTCATTGATCTCAAGTGTTAGTTGAAAAATATTTCCTTTAAGTATTATTTATGCATATACATGCCAATGAGATAAACTATTGCTTCGTTACAATATCCTGAAATATGTTTATTTAATATTTTCCTTTATTTTTAGTCTATTCAAAGATGTTTAATGCCATTCGACTTAATCGATTTTGATCAATTACATTTTGCGTCTGATCGGGGTGCAAACCTTGTACGTGCCTTACGAAACTATGATACATTATTTTGTTATCCACATCGTCTTAATAATATTCTTAAACGTGCATTTTTTCAATCGAAGTCAAATAAAGAACAACAAACAAAAACATCATCGACACTAGCATGTACAAGTCTTATCAGCAACACCACAGTAACGAATGAAATTGATCAAGAGAATGAAGATAATGTCTATAGTTCATCATCCACAGATAATGAAGATGACAAAGTTGAACCAACTCTGCCAATCAACAACAAATTAGTATATAAAAAAACAGGAGACGATAAAAACAAATGATGTTAACGATAATAATCAGAGAAAAATGAAATTCGAAGATTTGACTTTGGCAGCACAAGAAATAATTAAAACTGTCACTCGATGTAAGAAGTTAGTAGAGTTTGTTAAAAGGGTAAGACAATATTTTATTATTATTTTTTCATGATAGAAAAGAAAGATAAAAAGTAGTTCTAGTTTGAAAAGTACTATTGTCATATGTTTCTTATTCATTTAGAGCGGCTGCAATAAAGATATTCAGTCTTTCGGTGGAATTGCTTTGCAGCAATCGACTGTGGTTCGGTGGCTTTCGTTAATTAATTTACTCGAAAGCATCGTTCTATCATATAAAGTAACTAAGCGAGTTTTAATTAATCGTAAGCAACAAATGAAATTGAAAGGGATTGATGAAAAAGTTCTGAAACAAATAATTCGATTATTAAAACCTTTCAAGCAAGTACTGAAGATTATACAAACAACAAATACTCCATCACTATATATGGTATTAATATGTACACACAAGCTTAGAAAAACATTGTCATCATTTGACGAGTTGACGAATTATCATTCACCTTTATCAACAAACAGTTCAAGTGATATCGAAAACGATATTCATGAAGAAATTGACATGACAGAAAACGAAGGTAAAAAATAATTTTCTTTTCAAAATAATTTGTTATAGATACATTTCTTGATTAATTTTAGGAATGAAAATCCTTCGTATGAGAATATTGGCATTACTTAATCTTACGTTTGAGCTCGATATCCGCCATTATTGTGCGACATTATTGCACGCTCGATATCGCCAACTTAAAAGATGCACAAAAGATAAACATGATCAAACATATAAATATATTCGTAAACGTATGAGTGAAATAATTAAAGTCAATCAAGAAAAAGATATTCAACCGCCACAGAAGAAAATCAAAAGTCAACAATCATTCCTACAGCAGTATGAAGATAATAGCGATCCTGAGCGATGTTTCGATGAATGCGATACTTCAGGTAGTGAAGATTATGCATTTATTACACCAAAAGCTGATGAATTAAGTCGTTACTTATCAATGGACATTGATAAATCGAGTTTAACTGATAATCCACTGGATTTTTGGCGCAAAAATCAAAGTGTTTCCCGATATTGTCAAAATTAGCACGTCAAATGCATTGCGTACCTGCATCATCTGGTGCCGTAGCAACGGCAGTTTAGTGGTGCCGGGCTCGTTATCAATGAACGCCGAACAGCTTTAGATCCTGAACAAGTGAATAATATTCTATTCATTCGGTCTATGAAAAATATAAAGCTTCTAAAATGATGTACAATAATAATTTTTCTGTATTGTTAATAATATTTATTTTTTCAAATCGTTTTGTATTTAAAACATTATTTTCATTTTTTTTCTATTGCTTCGTTGTTCTCTATACTGTCATATTTTGTATATATTGAGAGAGTAACGTATTTTTGGCGATGAAATTAAAAAAAGAATTATGAACTGAATTATAGTAAAATTAGGAACATGCAATAATATAATAAAGCATCATGGTTTCAGTAACTAGATAAACATTCGGATAAATTTGATGTCTTATAGAATATATGATAATTGAGATGCCCCATGGGATCATGGGACAGTTACGAAGATTGTCCCATACCATGGGATGGTTTTTTAATCACTCTCCCATCCTATGGTACGAAATGTTTCGATCTATCCCATGGGGCGATTTTTTTGTCCTATCCCATTCCACGCGGAGCTCTGGTACACATTATTGATCAGAGCTCAAGAATAATTTTTTTCTTTTAAGTTTAATTATATTTTTTTTTCTCGAAGGGTACTTTTTGTTGCACCTAATCTGGCCAATATTATATTTTGACTATTCTATGCGTGTAACAATGTAGCAAATCTTGACCTTGTTTATTTCCTATTTGAAATAATAAAGCATTATTTCTTCCTCAAATATGAACACAAAACATGATTGGCTCTGAAAATTTAATAAAAAAATCTTGTTTCAGTCGTTCAATTTACTTCTCATGACCGGTGGTTTCTTCTTCATTACGATTTATAACTATATGATCTCGAATTTTGCAAACTATAAATAACTATTTATTAGCATATATTTCTTTATTATCTCACAAAAAAAATCATTGATGCAGAAAAGATGAGACAACAGTCAACTATAACAATTGAGTCACTGAGGGACTAAAAAGCTAATTAGATTGGAAGCATGTATTCGTCTGAAGATAGTTTCTGACAAAAAAAAGAATGTTTGAATATGAAGAATAATAAAAAAAACTTTTCTTATATAAAAGAAAAGAGTCAACGTAATACGGTCGTTTTCTTTTATTAACTAACTATATTCGAAAACAGTTCACTTATGTTGACGCTTTTCCGTAACATAAGAATATTAAAAACTTCATCAATCAGCGTGTTTATTACGTATGATTTTCTTTGATAATCTTAAATAAATGTTAAGTACTTTTGTTTTCACCAAATTATTTGCGTTTCTTTCTACACTTGTTATCATCCGGATCTGTTGATTTCGAATAGATTAACAATAAACATCTCTTAATTTCATTTCGCATCAAGGCCAAAAGAAAGAAAAATATATATGTATATAAATATAAACAAATACCAACAGACGCACAACAATAAATATATAATTATAATAATAATAGTAATAATAAAAAGAAGCAAAAGACAGAGGAACAGAAAGAAGATTCATTGTTGCGTTTTAGTAATAAAATCATGTACATTGGACGTCGAAGTATAATTCGATGATGATTGCTGTTGTTGTTGTTGTTGTTGTTGTTGTTGTTGTTGTTCAAGATCATCGGGGTTTATATAATTTGAATGATTCAATGGAGAAAATTTATGATTTACTTTTAAATTCCATTTAAATTTGTTTTCAATCGATATTGGTTTAATTTGTTTTAAATTAAATGATACATTTGTTGCACTTGTATTTAAATTCAAATGCCCATTTAAAAATTGATTTGATTGTTTCCTACTACCATTTTGCGATGAAGTTAAATGATTTTTTTTAGCTTTTTTAACGCGAAACTGGTTTTTACAACTATGATAATTATTATTATTTTCATCGTTATTAATATTGGATTGATTAATAAGTGTATTTGATGGCTGTTGTTGTTGTTGTTGTTGCTGTTCTTCTTCTTCTTCTTCTTGTTGTTCTCGCTCTCCACCTCCATATACAGAAAGAAGACGACGTGCACGACGCAATGCCTGATTACGTCCAACAAATGTTTCATTAATAAAATAATTACAATGTGCTATTGTAAATGCTTCTTTAAGAAATACGATTGACGTCAGGGAATAGAGAAAAAAATTTAATGTGTAATTTAAATTTCTTATTGTTAATGCTATATAACGAAAGCCAATATTAATTATATTAACTTTAAGATTTAATTTCACACTACCAATTGCCGTGGAAAACAGCCAATACCAGCATACCTGATATGGCATTGTAAATGTTATGAAAGAAAATGAAACGGCTATCAACATCACACTTATATGAATACGTCTTGATCCACTAGTACGTATACGATTACGTAACTTATGTACTGTTATTATACTTAATGTTAATATGAGTATTGATGGTAAAACATATATAAAAAATATCTGTATGGAACCTATGATTTGATATGTTTTAGAAAAAAATAAAAGACAATCATCAACTTTTGATGCAACTATTGCAAGACCGAGTGGTGCTATCATAGCTACTAAAGAAACACTAAAAACAATAATCCATGCTTGTTGACGATTGAAACTTGTTCGAATCAGAAATGGTTTAGTTACAGATAAATAACGTTCAACAGCAATCATTAATATCAGCCAAGAATTGATCGATGAACCAACTAAATCAATATAAACATGAAATGCGCATAAAAAACGTGAACCTGTTACAACAAAACCAATAAAAACTTTATGATTAAGCCATTGCATAGTTACTGGACCGGCAAGAATAAGAATATTAGTTAACGATAACATAGCCATAAATACTGATACTGGATAACGACGCATACGTTTACGAAGAAATATTATCATAGACAATGCATGAGTGGGAATACCTATTTGAAATGAAAAAACAAATTTCTATTTCTGTTGTTTTCTTTTTAATTTTAAAAATTATATTTGTGTTATCTAAACTTTGACAAATGAGATATTATCATATTAATATTTTATTGAAAAGCACTATATATTTATTTTGACATATAAAACTTACCGACAATAATCAATATTGGATTAGCATATAAAAAGACTTCATCTGTAATATAATAGAATTTTGTATACGCTTTATAATTTTCCCAATCGTCAACAAGACTTCCATTAAGATCATCGCTATCGCTGATTGTTGTGGAAATAATAGTTGATAATGATAATGATGAATTCATTTCAACTATTGTCTAGATATATGTTCTTCTGTTTTTCAAGAAATATACTTTCATCTGAAGAAGAAAAAGAAATTAAAAGAAAGAAAAATCTTTAATTGAATTGATACATGTCAAAAAAATGAGCAAATTCACTTTCACAGAAAAAAGAAGAAAACAAAATTGAATAAAAAAATTCTTCATATGTTGTCTGTTTTTATCAATGAATAAAACAAAAAAAGTGACGTTAATTCTATGACATTTTTTATTTTATTGAGCTCCAATTTCATTATTAATAGAAGCAGATGACACCTACACAAACGAGAGACTCATATTTTAACTAGTCAAATGTTAGGTTTATCGATGAAATATGAGGAAAAACAAGACACGCATTGTTTTGAATAAAATACATTGTAAAATGTATTATAGTTTATAACTAAGGTTGAAAAATTAATTTGCTCACTGTTGAGTAATGGAGCTCATCCTTTTTAGCAAAAAATGCAAAAAAAACTTGAACAAAATGAAGAATTAAAAACTGTCATAACATTTGATTGCCTCTCTCTCTCTTTCTATATATTTTTCTTTTTCTGCCCCCCCCCCCACCGCTTTCTTGTGCCTTTTATCTATGCACAGAACTATATGCTTCCTTTTCCTTTGCGAGCTATAGAAGAGAAAAAAAACTTATTTTTACAGAAGCACTTCTTCGTCTTTTCATTTATAACGCATGACAGCATAGTTTTCTATTTAACGGCATAATAAAACCGCGATTTCTTCTTTCTGACTTTTCTTGATCATGCTATGTTGTATAGAACAATGCTCGATTATAAAATTGATGCCAATCGAGGTGACTGCACGATTGTAACCGGTGCGATCTTTTCCTTATCAATATTTAAGTAAAGGGTCAGATCGGCATGACTTGATATTCATTTTTCTCTTCCTATCATGACTAAATCAATCTTTTCGACGGGTTATATCTATTTCCGAGCTACTACAGCAATCATGTAAGATTTCTATTTCACTAAAACAACGATACTTAGTACTGCTTATTTCGATTAGCTTAGTCTCTCTAGTTAATCTATTGGTAAACGGAAGCTTTGATACGACTACAAGTTTTATAGTTGCTCTATCCATGAGTTAACTAGCCTTCAGACGCGAACATTATTAATTAATAGTAAATTTTATCTGCTTCTCACAATATATTCTTTTTATTATCTCTTATGTTAATGTCAAATATACTGTACAGCTAATAGAGCATATAAATAAATCTATGATCAATTATGACACTAAACAATTATTTGATTTATTTGTAATAATATTAATTGATTTCAAAGTGAATTAGTAATGTATACTTAGCATACTGTAATAAATTTTTCTCTAATACAGTTTAATACGATGTTCTTTCATAAGAATTAAGTTAGACATTCGTAAAAACAAAAATAACGTTTGATTTCAAGGAATAAAAACGAATGTATGATGAATTTTTGAAATGCATCATGAATAAATTGAAAAATTTCTGAGCGATCAGTATAAAAAAAAAGTTTTATCTTGCGGTCGACTAGTATAGAATGGGAACATAGCAACGCCAATGAGAGAAATTTGTGTTTGACAACGTATTCTATTCGATGCAAAACTTATCACCATTATCACCATCAAACTTTTCTGTTGTTGTTATTGTTGTTATCTGCATCAAAAAGAAATAGATGACATTAGAGAGAGAGAGAGAGAGAAGAAAAAAGAGAGAACAAAACCGACAACTGACACAGTTCGGCTCATCTTTCGTCGATCTTTTTCTCTATTTGTTTATGTGCGAACATTGATAATGTTGTGCCTTTTTTTGTCTTCTCTAGACTATTGAGCAGATCGTTAATCTTTTTCTGTTGATTTTCAAATTGATAGAAAACTAAAAGAAAGAGAGAAAGAGAGAGAACAAAAGGCATTGCCTGACATTGAGTTGGAATTACTATCATAACTATATTATGCTGAACCACGTAAATAACCAATGAATAAGTAACATGTAACAGAAACGTCGACGGACAATCAAGAATTAAGTTGGCATACGTTATTTTTTTGTTTGTTTAAACTCATACTTTTATATCTAATATGTAAATATCGTAAAACATTTCTCAATAGGAAAAGAATAATGAGAAGCCTTCTTCGATGGTCTTCTTCTTTTTTTGATCAGAGATCGATTTATCTATAAAAACATTTAGTACACTGAAGTATAATTGTTGTAAATAAATCAAACAAAAAAGTTAAGGAATATTTACATGGCACTTAATAATATATCCATCTCTTTTGAATATTTACTATTTATTACGATTAAGATTATTTCTAAATCAACATGCAGTTAAATCAAATCAATGTCTATGTATTATTAAATAAATATCTATATAAATATAGATGCATATGTATCAAATGAGATGCATCATAACTCCATGAATTAACTCAATATAGCAACTATTTCATAATTTTATTTACGTCATTCACTCTCGACATTGAGCTATCAAGGTCATTTTAAGAATTTAAGCCAAAATAGTAACGAACAAAAACAGACGGAGTAGGGTGGAACGGAACAACTATAACCGCCCATCATCAAAAGAAGGCTTGTGCGCATTTCCTACTTCCTTTTTCCCCTCTTTAATGACATTATTGTATATGCATCTCAAACGTTCTATCAAGTAACATGACTCGACATAAAGACAAATAGAACATAGGGTACACGGAAGCGGTTCAATACAAAACCAAATGAAAACTAAATGAGCATTCATACAGTTGAAAGATACTGTTATTCGTAAAGAAATATGTTGCTTACAACTGATATTGTCGTTTGATCAAAAAGTTGGTTTTGAATCGGAACGGATGCTAATCAAAATAATGCACATATAAATGAACAATTATCCATCATAGTCATAGCCATAGATGAAAGTAATATTAAGAAGAAAACATACGCGGAAAAAAATTCTTTATTATAGCAACTCATCTAGAAATGTTAAGGAGTCTCTCTTTTATGACAAGTGCTTAGCTAACAAACTTTACATAACAACTGACAGCTACATATGTATACTTTTATTAAATAGTTAGTAAGAGGTTACAAGAATCATTAGCTGTTTTTGATATCACTACAAATCGAAAAGTGCAATTCACATTTTGTACTAGACAAAAAAAAATATTTTTCTTAATACTAATAAAATGAACTCGCATGATTTCTAGAAAACATATATGATCTCTTATGTTCTTCCTAATTTGTAAATTTGCACAATAAGCTTCGTTTCTCGTATTAATCTATTTATCTATATGATCATAGAAAAGGGAAAGTTATGATTCTGTCTCGCTATCTTCTTCTATGTTCGATCGATGAATATCGGGTTTTCGTTAATGCATTTCCTGTTCGTAGCATAACATCGTCCGAAAAATCAAGTGTCTGTGTAAGTGTTTATATGTATTCGCTATTTGGCATTGAACTTTTCAACATAATCTATGTATATGCCAACGCTTAATGCCCTTGATGATGAGCGTGCTAGCGAACATACTTACGATTGACAGGTTTGTTGACAAGCGTATGCTCATTGCAGTACGAAAGCTTTTTTCTTTTCTTTTTCTCATCTATTGCTAGAGTCAGCAAAAAAATTAGTTGATCTTTTATTTAATATATAATATGATTTCCGATATACAGTTTTATTTCTTCTCTTTCTGATATCACATTTAGTCAAAATTATCTAATTACTATTTACTGAAATATGAATAGATTGCTCATGTGAATAGCGAGTTGACTGGATTAAAACAAAAGATGATATGAATATATGTTATCGAATTAGACGATAGATCTTTCTTTGTTCTTCCTATAAATCTATTACGATTCCCAATCTCGCTCTTATATTTTCTCTTTCATTTTGATGAACATGAAATACAATCGACGCGCAATAACAACAAACTGATAATGACAAAGAAAGATTGATAGAAATAGATAAAAGAAAATAAAAAGATGGCAGAAAACCTTCTAGTAAGAACAATACTTGTCAGAAGAAGCATATATTTCGTATGCGATGATGAAAAACGTAGTTAATATAATACAAGCTAAACTAGTCTTATCAATGAGTAAACAATGGAACAGATCCATTTTGATCTATGTCATTTTTATAGTTATGCTGGAATGTAGACGTACACATCAATAGGAGAAAAATATAAAATAGACAAAAGAGAAACATAGATGAAAGAGGAAAATAGAGAAAGGAAATTTTAGTTACGTATGTTGTCTAAATTAGAATCAATTGTCCACTATTGTTTTATGTGCCATATCAAATGGTAAATGATCAAAACATCCGCTATTAAATATTATGTTACAGTATCGTTTTATTGTAAATACAATACGAAAGCTACTATAGTTATAATATTGTGTTCACACGAATATGAAATACTTCTAAAAAAAAATGATGACTTTCTCGTTCTCTTAGATACTGGCGTCATACGGGAATAGTCTGCATTCGTTCTCATTCAAATTATGTTTTTCTATTATTAGCTATAAAATAGATACAATAATATGGAGAAAAAAACTCTTCATTATACATCAGTAGTTTCTATTGAAAATAATAGAGGAAAATCTGACATCAATCTAATTGACTCTACTATGCACATTGAACACAAAATCGTACGCAAATAACCATTCAATCATTAGTAATTTTCTTATAGCATTTACCTTTCGATTAAAGAACTCGAAAGATTCTGAAATGAATACTAATAATTAGTTTTTGTCTCACATATTTTCAGTGAGATGAAAAGCAGCAACTTGAATGGGCTATTTGAATAAGATAGATTTACTTATGATAACCGAGAATAAAAGAGTAATATGAATAGATGAAGCACATAAATCAAGTTATAATAATGCACGGAACAATAGCGATTGTCTTGGTAATTAGCATTCATGACCGTCGAAAGCATTCTAAGGTTAAGCTATATACTGATACATCAATCTAATACTAATTGTCATTAATATCATTGATCGATTTTATCTTCAAACGTACAAAATAGAAAATAATTCATTAATAATGATATATTTTCGTGCACAAGAATTACTTGATCGATTGATTCGATTATTTTCTCTTCTTTAGAATGATAGCAACAACAGTAAGAATTACAATGGATGTTAGAAGGAAAAAACTGAATTCGTTCAGTCTGTGATCTTCTTAATTTCGTTTTATCATGCAATATAATCATCATAATTACTTTTTAAGTATAATTTAATGAACAAAATGCACATTATAATAATTATGAATAATAATTAAATTGAAGTCTAGTTCAAAAAGCAATATTAATTAATAAGCAATTATGTCCAAAAGTTTCTTATTTATATAATATTTCTACTTCTAAATCTTTTAAACGATATTTACTATGATTAGTATACTAAAGTAATCTTTTTAGCTTACTGCAAAAGCACAAAAACAACAACTAACAGTTGACAGAAAAATTACATAATAGAAAGCATATATATTTTACTTTAATTCCTTATCTTAAGCCTACCTTTAGAAATCAATGCCAATGGATCTCATGCGGCTAATGATCTTCAACAATCAGAAAAATGTATGATATTGCGATAAATTTCTTATCTAACTGCACGTGTATGTATACATAGTAATCTATGTAACACAATGTCTATTAATTAACTTTAGTATTTAAAATAAAAATCAATTATATGTATCTATTCAATTTTTGAATGAAATTCTCAGTAAGAAAAGAAAACGTTCATGACATAATACTACATACCACAAAGTCATTTTATCTCTTGAATTATAGACAAAAATAAACATCATGGAAAATGCTTACCATCATTTAACTACTTGTCATATACCAGTAAGCAGATCTGCAGTCTGGTATGGCATGATTCAAGGACTCTTTTTACTTTATTAACGCTTGCATTCTGCTTATTACATTGCGCTATTATAATTTATATGGTCTCCGTAGATAATCTATAATTGCAGATAAAATTATTTACATGTTTTCGTTGTACTACAAAAATATCTCTAATACATATGTGAATAGTGAATGTTCCTAATGGGAATAGGTAAATTAGATAGTAAAAATATACGAATATAGAACTTTTTGAGTACTTCAAATGAAAGTTAATTAAAATTAACACCAATATTGAATAGAACGTCCTTCTTCTACTTTATTTCTAGTAGACAAAAACATTGGTTTTCATTAACAACTAAACAACGTGAAAAGAAAAAAAGAGTACTTCTTTTTAATAAAAAATTTGCATTATGAGAATGTTCTATAATCAAAATACTCTCAACTCTATGTATGAGTAAGTTTTAAACGAATGTTCATCGATTATATTAATAAAAGAAAAAATAGATGATTGCCTAATAAGATGTAAAGAGTTAATCAAGAGTACTACTAATATTTCGTCATTTTTTTATTTTATTCTGGTAGGCACGCAAATATTGTATTTATTCAAATAATTTTTTCTCTAACAAACTGAATGATTAAAAATATTTACATACTATGGAATAATCTTAAAAATTTACTTGTTAACTTTAAGTCTTCATAAGTAATAGTACGTATTGATGTTAAAATATTTTACTTGACTCTAATTTAAAAAAATGTCAGATAAGATGATATTTCTTACCATTAAATGTGCTTTGTCGAATGCAGAGTTCTTTTTAATTAAATTAGAAATCTCTTTTTTTCTTCAAGATTTTTTCTAGTCAATACTAAAACAAACTTCTGTTTGAAAATTTCACCGGTTAAAACGATGGAAAATACTTATGACTTTCTGAGAAATACGACTACCTCTTGTGCACTAAAACACTATGATATGCATTGAAACATGTTATGCATAGTACTATGTTCTTTTAGATAGATTTGTAATATCATGCTAAACTATCATCGACGATAGAAGAAATATTTTTATCTAGAAAGATTTGCGTACAGACACAATAGAAGTCGTGATTATAATAGAATATAATCCAAGGTTCTTTGACATACATACATACGAGACAGGCATTGTTAGAAAGAACAGGAAATTTATTTACTTGATTTGACAAGATGAACTGTTCTACTACTAAATTGCGCGTAGAAATGTCGGGAATTCATCATTGTCAAATAGCTACAGCGCTTTTTTACTAATGATTGTTTGAGGGACTTGAAAAAAAAATGACTAAACCATCGGAGACAGCATTGTGTGACCGAGATAGAAAAATTGATTTTTAGCAGCGAATAGACTATAACAAAATTTATGCTATATTATACTTAGGACAAGTATTTTTGTTATGTCAGTTCTTGTGTGTAAACATAGTTTCGTACTAAGAAAATTGACTTGACTACCTATAAACACAAAAGGGAGTTTTTGGATGAAAAAGAAAAGACATTACATATAGTTAAATAGAAAAAAGCTTCTATATATACTTGATCTTACTGGAATATGCTCTTTCATAGACGACTTTTTTCTTATATATATATATATATATAAACATGCACGTAGAATTCGGCAAACACCATTCTGTCAGGCTTGCATAATCATCTAATTATTTTGTATACACACAAACTTGATAGTGTTGCAATGGACTTATGAGATTAATGGATGTTTTTATTTTCAATGAGTAAAATCGATTTCATAATCAAACTAAATAAATGTGGAAACTTCGGATTTCATCCGAGAGTTATGTGTACTGCAAAAAGTGCATGCGACATATGAGTCATTCTAGAATGCCAGAACACGAAAATTATCATGAGAAACTAGACAATTTGATTTCTGGATGGAGTTTTTGTGAATTTTGAGACGTTTTTCAGGCGATGTTTCGTTAGAAAGCTATGACTTAGTTCAAAACTAATATCAGATTTAGAATCAGNGCGCACAAACTTTCAGCTCAAGCGTATGTAATTGTGACGAGTTATCGAATAAACGGACGGCCGGACACACTGACCGATTCTATAGTGTACTCTTTTTTTTTTGAGTACACAAAAACGTCGTGACGCTAAGGAAAACATGCCAATATGTGGATGTCCTTGACATAGACATATGCTGTAAACATCTTTTGTTATTTGATGGGGGTCAGTTCAATTATTTCCAGTCTTTGTTGCACCAATCGAAGTCTATTGTAAAATACTTTTCATCTGTTTTTCAATGGCATTTCATCTTTGAAATCAGATATAACCATATTTAAAATATATGTTGATAGTAAATGTAAGACTATTTTTTTTTTATGGAAAAACTACGGGCGAACAATCGATCTTTGACATATTCAATGGTATTAATTTAACCGTCCATTTTTTATTTGTACAAAAAGAACGAAAATATAATCAAAGAAAAAAAAGAGAAGTACCTATATCAGACTTTTAAATTAGTCCAATTATTACATCATTCATGTTGAACGAATGGATTTGGAATTTCCTCCATGCCATCTAATGGACATATGAGTACAACTGATGTACCTCGACATATAACAAGTCCTAATGGTCGAGTATCTTCACTAATTTTATATTCATCATCGGGATCACGTAGATATTCAATAGTTTGATCGAGTACCAAATTTAACAATTGATCATAACCTAAATCAATAATATAGATAAACATACTCAATTTTTCTAAATTTCTACCTTTTAAAACTCCACTACATTCTCGACCACCATTGAATTTCACTCGAATACGTTTGTCTAAATATTTGTTAAGATCAACAATATTTTCTTTTCGACGACCAACACTATCAGCCATCTGAAGAATGAAAGAAAAAGCCCATAATTAAGAAATTGACATCAAACATGATGATCTATTTATTGATGTTTTATTCGGATAGTTTTTCTTTTTTTTTCTTCTACACGCTTTATATTGACGTGATGAAAAAGAAACAACAAGAGTAGCAACAAAAAAACGTTTTTAAGCCACGAATTGATAAGGAATTGGTTCAACAATTTGTGGTTTGTTGCCTCCAGTTTGTACCAAATGTTGTTGTCGTGGGCCTTGTGGCTAGAACAAACACAATTAATTCATACGTAAAATATCAATATACATAGGTATAAAAAAAATCTTACTTGACGTTTAATGCTAGCAAGTGGTACACTCTTGCCTGATTCTTTGGCTCCTTGTTTCAATTGTTCATTGAGTTTGACGCGATTAAGAAAATCAGCACGACATTTTGAATGTTTGACTATAGAACAAATTCAATATAGACTTTAATTAAACAAATATAAGTATTACGTACTATGTTCGATACGAACATTGATTCGTTTAGCAATGATACGATAACTGAAATACACATATATTAATTATGTTTGAAATCATACATGAATGACATACCGAACTCGTTTGTTGACAATAATACCAACAGCATGTCGGGTTACATTAAAAACACGTCCTGTTTTTCCGTGATAAAATCGATGTGGCATACCTTTTTGTACAGCACCATTGCCCTAAACAAAGTCATAGATATACATTTTTGATTTTTGAAAATAAAAATAAGAATCAACTGACTTTAATATCGACAATGTCACCACGTTTATAAATTTTCATATAAGTAGCCAAAGGAATGCGTCCATTTTTCTTAAAATCGCGTGCAAACAAATGACGGGTACCGCGACGATAACCTTTTGGATTTGTCATTGTAGCAACGGTACTGACGAGATAATGATATTAATCTTAAAAAGAGTAACAAAATCAAATTGAGTATTACAAAATTTAGCTTGTAAGAAAATAATATGAAAGAGATCCATCCAATCCATCATTCAGCAAAAAGAAAAAATAATCAACGGATGGACAGAACCTCCACTCCACATTTACAAATTTTCGTCTTCTATGGTTGGACTACTATTTATACGAATAGAGAGAAAAAAATATGTATCATTCATGTACTTACGACATCTATAGACATCTCTGCATATACATATATATATCTTGATGGCCTATTGTAACACAAAAATCGAAATCGCTTGATATATAAAGTCCAGATCATTGACAGTAATGAAACTGATGATACAAGAAGTATCTTTTGATAGGATAATTAATTTCTGTGTTATAATTTTTGCAGCGGTTCTAACCAAAATGTCCCCCTATTGATAAAGTCATCGCTTCATAAAAAATCAATAGTGGCGTTTTCACATACAAGTGTCGGAATGAACCGAAATAAAATTTTCGTTATTCTTCCCATAAGAATCATTCTGACAGTAGGATCCTATCGGATTCCAACAAGGATCAGAGAGTGAATATACCTAATACCATATGTGTTTCAATAAAACCGACGAAATCTTATGGGATTCCTGGACACGGACCTACAGTCGGATCCTTGGTATTGAATCCAATAGGATCCGATGTTGGATTTTAACGGAATCCAACTCTAACGAATCAGCCTGGCGCTCTGATGGCTCAAAATGCTTATTTGATCGCGAATAAGAAAATGATTTTTTCCGTCGGAACCGACAATAGGTCCGTGTTCAGGAATTCTATCGGATTCTGTCAGAGAGTCGGATCCCATAGGATTCGATAAGATCCATTGTCGGATTCATTTACCTGGGAATGGTCAACATACGTTACGTGTTCGAGTTGAAAACTTTAAAATCCCATTTTCTATTTTCTTTGGTTGTACTTCATCCACATCAGTTTTAGCACCCGATATACATGGTTCACAATGCAGTATAGAATGGTTTGGTTGTAAAGAAGTTTATGAACATGGTACTTCCCGCAGAAAAGTAGAAGATATGATCATTGCGGCTATTTAATAAATAAAAATGATATTCTACAATTAACATATGATTGTGATAAAAATCAAATTAAGCTATACAATGAAACTATGAACACTACAAGTATATTAAACGTAAATATTGAACTGACTCCTTACCCGTGGCATTTATTAATGGTTCTGTACTAGGGGTGTCAGAGTTCCCCGTTCCTAGGAACGGAAACGCATCGCATGCTGCGATTTTAAAGACATTCTAAATGACTCGAAGTTTTTATCCATTATTATTTATTATTTTATTTCATAAATTTTTTCGCTTCCCGTTCCTGGGAACGATGAACGCATCTCATGTTTCTCTTTAAGCGAATCCGAACTGATACGTCTTATTAAAAACTAACATACACGCGTCAATATTTCATAAGCTATGAACAGAATGTATAGACAAATTTCTAAATTGTTGTCAAATTATTCATGACTTTGGCACTCCCAGGTCGTTCATTCCTAAAATCGGATCTGAAAATGGATTGCATCGGATCTTACATGAAAAACGACAAGAGCCAACAGATTCCGTCGGATCCGTCAATAGTTCCGAAACCCAGAGTTCAACTGGATTTCCTCAGTTAGTAGGATGTTTCCGGATCCGATAGAATCCGGCGTCGGATTAGTCGGCATGGGCTGTCTTGAAGACAGCATCTTGGATAAAGAAAAACAGCTGCTATATATCGATTGAGTGTGTAAGAGCTAATGATATATATGGTCTTAAAATTTCAATGCTTATTCTAAAATATAGCTTTATACAATAATTATATAAATAATTCAAGGGTATTTTCGAAAAAGCTTATCAGAACAGTCCCTTTGGAGCTAAAATATGGAAGTCACATATATCGGTTAGACTTACCAAGCTGGTCCTAAATAGGTTAAGTGGAAAACTGCAGTAAAATCTACCTTTTCCATAAAATCTGAAATTACGGCATTACCTATTTACTTGTGTCTGTAATGGTGGCCTATACTGATTGCTAGTGTCTGCAATGGGCAGGTCTTTGGGTTTTCGAATAATCCGTGATGAAAATACGGAAGAAATAACAGCCTAATTAGTATAGTTTCTAATTAGCACCGTTATGAACTCATTAATGTCTGTAATGAAGAGGGGGTGGGGAGCCACAAAATTCTCGCTTTTAAACTTACACTCACCATTTTCTTCGAAAATATAAGTGTTCCACAAAAAAAAGTACATGCCATTTTCTTCTTGAATGCTGGGGGAAAACGAGCTAAGTGAACTTTTAGTCCTGTTCGTCAGCAGTGTCACATATTCTACAAATCGGGCATGCTAGAGATGCCACGAGAGATGCGGGATACACAACAGTGATACTCCCAGCAAATAAAATATCATCGCCATAAGAAATCAATCACGCGCACTCTGTATCTGCAGCACACCTGCCGCGTCTCATGCAGACACACCGCATCTCTCGCATCTCTCCACAGAGAGCTGCCGCATATCTGGCATCTGCACCTCCCGATGAAAAAGTATTTTTCGATTTTCAAGCCCTAGACCCCATCGCATATACGTCGAACTTGAAACTTGAATTCAACTGAAATTTCAACTTTCAAGTTTCAACCTTCAACTGCCTAGTTTCAAGGGTGTGGGCGTCGTGGAAGGGACATATGTTCATCTACACACACACATGCACCAAAGATTCGACAATAGTGTCAGAGCAATGAAGTGAAAGTTGAAAGTTGAAAGTTGAAGTTTCCGTTGAATTCAAGTTTCAAGTTCGACGTGTATGCGGTGGGGTCTAGGGCTTGAAAATCGGAAAATATTTTTTCATCGGGAGATGCAGACGCCAGATATGCGGCATCTCTCCGTGGAGAAGTGCGAGAGATGCGGCGTCTCACGCAAAGACGGAGAATACACTTAAATAATTCTATGTAGCCATAGTATTGGTATTGTGTTATTAATAGTTTTGTATGCCGGCGTCTCCGTTGGCATCTCTAGCATCCCCGATATTTCCGATATGTGACACCTCTCCTGTTCGTTTCGTTTACATATTCAATCCGTTCGTGTTAATCAATTATCATTCTCTTATATTGGGTTGATTCAATTGTTACTGATAATTATTATTTAAAAATCAATTTTCCATGTTTTCATCGTTCGTCATCAATATCTTCTTCAGCATCAACACCTATCTCAAGACGACGAAATTCATATAGTAATTTGAATACAACATGTAAAAATCCATCTGCCAATTCATCAACAACCACTCGTATGCGAAGAAGACTTCAATCGAAGTTAAAAACAGTGAAATGGACACAGCCCATTAACAGCGATAAGACAAATGATGAATCTAGTAGCGATGAATCTCCAATGGGTAGTGATCAATCGCGATAATGAAATGACACCGTCAACAATTATCAACTCACTCTCGTTATCACACCCCAAAACAACAATAATAACAACATATAACACTGTACGACAACGATCTATCAAATAAGAGTTTGCTTTTTATCTAGATCGCGTACAAGGTGGTCAACCATTTCAAGAATTTTGGAGTTCATATGAAATGAAACGTCCACGATTGGCTGCTCTTGTTAGAGCATATAATATTCGATCGGTATCGTCAGTTGCTAGCGAATCATTGTTTAGTATTGCTGGATACGTTCAACGGAAACGGAGATCATCTCTTGCTTCAAATACACTGTATTATTCGATGGTCCTTCGTGATCAAGATATTCTTCCTACACTTATTTTATAAGTTTAAATAACACTGTTGCTATACTATTATTGTATGTTCTCTGTTTTTCCTCTGAATAGAAGTACGTTGTAGTAAATCGGATTTAAGGTTTGAAATTTTATTTCGACGTTGTTCTTAGCATTTGATAGGATAAAAATTTGTTTCTGATCAATAGAAACTAGGTTTATATATCGGGTAATATGAGGCTGATGGTGCGCGAGAAAATATAGTTTTAAATCGTTGCCTTAGTCTACTATATACAGTTATATTCTAAAAACTGTTCTTCTATTTTTTTTTCGGCGTTATGAGATTCTCGTTATAATCTCCTTGTGTGACTGTTTTGTTAGAAAATCTGATATGTGAATTAGTCTTACTATATTTTGGACGCTATTATCATACTGCTGTTTTATGGTTTGTTTCTTGTGAAAATACTCAATATACTGATAAAGCAAAATCATTCTAGTGTTTTCTTTTCTTTCAGGATGAAAAGACTTAAGGACAAGTCACTTTGCTTTCATACTAACTTTGTTCAAGTCACGTAATAAAACAATTAACTTGCCACTGTTAACTTAACAGATAGTAGCTTGCACGAATAATATTGACTAGAATGATTTTAACCGCAAATGGAATACAGCCGTACAAAATGTGTTTATTTCACTTATGTGAGTCAGTAATAATTAGCAAGATTTGATCATTAAACTAACACAATACTTTAAAAAATAGACATATTGTATGCTTGTTCTCATACAAAAGGACTAGTGAGCATTAGCAGCATAATCTATGATTAAAGTTTCCAAAAAAAGAAATTTTACGTTGACTCAACTTAGAAGTCAGATCGCGTTCCCGTTCCTGGGAACGGAACGCGAACGCGACACCCCTATTCTATACCATAAAGACGATTGTGCCAGAATTATTAATGATACGTAGATTTTAGTTTTGATTAAAACTTCAGATGATGTTAAGTTTATTATTTAATAAAGATAAGAATTATGATAGTGCTGAAATTGTCTTTTTTTCTGAAACATCGACTCAAGTGTTGACTCGATAGATTGATTCCGTTTTAATCTCTACGAATTCTCTGTTATCAAACAATAAAAATAAATAATACAGAATCATTTCTTCATTCAGCAGTTGAATCACTTATTGTAAGTATGAGCTATATGATCGTTTCTCTTGAATTTTCTTTAACATTTTTTTGCGTACACTAACTACTTTCTCATCACCATTATTCAGACATGAACTAAAACGATTAAATTGAAAGAAAATATTATGATATTTTGTAAGCAATATCTTGCAAAAGTATACTAGCTGATTTAGGTAATTCTTTATGTTATCTTCTGAAGATACAATCTTTCAACTAAGTTAAATATTAATTTCTGATTTAATCAGAAACTTTTAAGATATTTTGTTCTCAATATTTGTTATTTTATGATATATTAGGTGAAAGCATTGGTGTAATGGTAGTTTCTTATATTGTATTTGATTTTATAAGTTCTGAATGGATGTTTTACATCTGATCTTCATAGTAACTTTTGACTTTTGTATCAAATAGATTTTAAATACCAAAGATTATTTTGTATTAAATTCATATCACGACATACAAGATAGTAACTATTTATTGGTGATCATTTTGTTGGATTTTAGTTACACCTGTTTTAAACAAAATTTTAATATTTTATAATTCCATGAACGTTTTCTTATATACTGTATTATTCATCGATTTCATTTGATGAAACGATTAAAATGCGAGAGATGACTACATAGAACAGAACATATTTTTTTCTTTGCAATTTCGCTCTATTTGTCACCTTGTAGCAAATATACGTTGCATGCGACGAGATAGTAAAATAGAATAGGTTGCTCTTGTATGTTTTTTTGTGTCTAACATTCAACTGGTAATATACTTACGATTGATATATAAATGATTGAAGAAATTGAAACTATTACCAAAATACTCTGTATATTCAGTATTTTCGTCTTCATCTGAAAAACTTCGGCATGTAATAGATATGCTTCTTGATTTAATGCCCATATTGTGCTCGTCTAAAGCCAACACTCGTAGTAGTCAATGATTTTTCAAATAAATATAAATCTCAAATTCAATTTATTTTTCGCTATTAAATCCAACCGTGACATATTCCATCAAGTCTTGTTCATATAGTAGTTATGGCTGTAGCTCGTGAACAACCTGCTCGAGTGGTTGATGCCATAGCAGCCTTATTTATATGGCAATGGGAATGATTTGATGAACCCGTTGAAGAAAAAAAACAAGTAGAAATTTATGAAATGTTTTTATTTATTTTAAATGAAGACACGCAAATGCAACTTGATACAAATTTATTTCTTATCAATTGCAAGGAGTCCAATGCAGGAAATACAATTACAGTTGATCTTAAATATCATATTAAATATGCAAGAAAACATGGTGTTCATGTATCGCCAACTGTATTTATTAATGAACTTGAATATTCTGAAATTAGTTTTCAATGGATCCTTGAGCAATGAAATAATTATCTGGACAAGCTTTAATGATTATCAATACAACAAAAAGGTAAACATACTACTACGGACTTTCTGTCTAAAAGATAAGCTTGATGTCATTAGAATATTTTAAACTTTTTAATCTAAGCTAATCTCAATAATTCCGGAACAAGGTTTTGAATTGTTCTTTTAATTCATATAAATAGATTTTGATATGAGACATGTAGAATATATACTTCATTTCGTTTGTTTTTTCTATGTAGTCATTCATAGAAAACATTCAAAACAAAAGGATTAAAAATGAATTTTTTATATCAAACATTTGACAAAGTGAGGGATACAAAAAAAAGAATCTACTATCGAAGAGAATCAAAGAAGAAAACGATTACTGACTGAACACGCTTCATCGATGGTTCTTATGAGGGTGAAAATTGAACATTGCTCACTTGTTTTATACATTGTTTCATTCATTTTTTTTTCTTTATTCTTCTGTTCACCTTTTACTCCATGTTCATTTGTATTTGTACTTATTTGCTAGTTGTCCGTTGTCATAGAGAGCTTTAGTATTGCAATATTGCGCAGCAGACACAATTAAAAGTATTCACCAGTACTATTATGGAAGAAGATAATACAACGGTAACATCGATGTCTTCAACATCGTTCTTAGCAGAAATTATGTTAATTCTTACTGGTTTAAGTGGCATTTCAGTAGTGGGTGTTAATATAGGTTTTTTTCATTCGTTACCAGTTTTTGTCGTTACGCTTGGCTTGTTGATTGGTATACTTGCAATTATTATGTGTATTATTGGTATCTATGTTCTTTTGTATCAAGATTATTTTCGTTTAAAATTATTTTTACAATTATTGACTTTATTCGTTGGTATTCAATCAGGTTTTATTATTTATTTATATTTTTTTACAACTTACACAGATAGTAATGACTATCATCATCATCATCATCAACAAGGTGTATTAATTGCATTAGATGTTTGTTGTGGACTTGGTACAAGTGCATTAATTGCACTTTGTTTTCATTTAAAACAAAAAGGATCAACCATGGAAATGTTTAAATTTTAATCGATTGAATTGTTGTCTCTGACATATATCGAGTATATAGAGTGATGATAGAAAATCTTGTACTTGTGTGACTTGGATACTTTGTTTTTATGTTCAAATTAGAAATCCTTGTTGTTGTTGTTGTTGTTGTTGTTGATTAATTGATTGAAATAACTATTCTTGCCTTTTTTACTATCTTACAAATTCGTAATAAATATTAGTCTATGAAAAATAATTAATTATGTTTAGATCTTTTACAAATGTTTAACAGTGATTATGATGGTAAAATTGTAAAGAGCTATCTCTATCTTTCTAATTGATATATTCAATGAGAACATTACATAGTAGCGAAACCATGTTTCAATTTTTAATAAAGTATTAAATCTTAATTGAAAACTTTAAAATAAACATATTCAATGATAAGAAATTTTTTTCCCAAAAAGTAAATCATGTTCACCTGTATATAAAATAAAAGTTATTAATTTCTGCTCAAGTTCATTAATTGTGTAAGTGTAACAACATGATAATCATGTCTTTGTATAGCTGGTAATACGCGTTGCAATGTTTCAATCGTAATAAATCGATCATGTAGTATTACAATAGCTCCAGGATACAGTTTATGTTCAATAAAAAAAGAATTGAGTCTAGGAAAAGGTATTTGAGGATCATGTGGATAAATTGAACCTAACACAAGTCGATAACCGAGATCAATACAATTTCGTATCATTCTTCGATTAAAGAATCCTGAACCTGGACGAAACCATTTATTAACACACGAAATATAATTATTAATTATTTTCTGTGTATTGTTTATTTGTCCTTGAAATTCATCTTCTGATAGACATATTGCTTTTTCATCTCGCCAACCATGATTTCCTACTTCGTGACCATCAGCTATTAGACATTCAAATAGACATTGTATTTCAGGTGAATTTTCATAATGTTCTATATGTGATCCAATAGTAAAAAATGTACATCGAGCATTATACAAGCGAAGTATATCAAGTAAACGAAAACTTATCGAGAGATCATTTACATTTGGAAAATCATCAATTGTAAGTGCAACTGATTTTAAATTAGACGGTAACCTCATATAAAATAAAACATCGGGATAACATTTTGACATTATAACTATTAAAAGTCGTGGTGGTGCATAGATCATAAATATTATTATTAAAATTAAACAAATTAGAATAATCGGTATTAAATACAACATTCGTTAGTAACGACGCTAATAACCTAAATTGATACATACAAATAGAGATCTATCTATCATTCCGGTTTATTATATCCATATATTTATGTCAAGAAAAAACAATTATACAATATTAAAAGGCGAAAAATATACAACGAACAAACGTTTATAATTGAGACGCATCTAATTGTTGATTCGCTGTTGTTGCCGATTTAAGAAATATTTTTCGTGCCATATTTATTTCATATAGAAGTTCGAAATCAGCGAATGACAAAGCACGACTTGCCAATGATTGATCACACGCATGTGTTGTTTGATGATTATTCATTGGTATTGTTTGTGCTGTTCGAGAACTAGCAAGTACAACTTCTTCTGCTGTGTCATTAACAACAAACTATGAAAATATTAAATAAACATATATTTTCCAATGATTCAACTACTGAACATACTCGATAAACATATGTATTATATTTTTGACCAAGACGACGTACACGAGCGATAGCTTGTAATTCCACTGATCGATGAATTTGAGGTTCAACAAGAATAACATCTTGAGCCTCAGTTAAATTAAGACCATTGGCTCCTGAAGATAGATTTAATATAAAGACAAAATAGGTATATAAATAGTATCTAAAATCTTTGCCCTTCTTTTGCAGAAAAAAAAGAATTATGTTCAGAATAATCTAAATAAATACGAGAATAGTTCAAAGGTGGCTGTTACATTTGAGGTCCCGATATATTCATACAGTAGCTCTTCCTTTTATCGTCTCCTATTAGAGATCTATACGATTTTAAGAAAAAAATGAAATCATTTTCATAGTTTTCTCTATCTGTTCTGTTTCAATCATACGTATCAGAATGCTCAAAAGATCTTCACTACAGTCAATGACTGTTTTTATACTTGAAAGGCAATGGTAGGGGCTCAGTATTTTTTTAATTAAATTTTTATACCATAAAATGAAACGTTAGTTTTGTAATTAGAATATTATTTTCCGATTGTCTTTTATAAGATTTTTTTTTCTCTTTTTATCTTTACAAAGAAAGAACTCTACAATGTTCTGAATCCTAGAATGTCTCTTTCAACAACAACAAAAATCATTCAACTTATAGAAAGAAGATCAACAGTAGTTTCATGTTGCTAAATGAAGTATATTAAACATTTACCTGGTGAATATTTCTCTCAAACTTTATCTTATACTGCTACAAACTTTAGTAAATTTTCTGCAGTACGATCAAAGATATAATCGGTAACACTTATTGACTTGTTTTTTAACGTATCCTGAGAATTTTACATGACTTGCATATATTTAGTGAAATCGATTTTTTAAAAGCACATAAGTGACTTTAGGAAACATATTTTAGTACCTTTTTCGAGTGGCATAAGAAGAACAGTTATACTTGGATCTTGTCGAAATTGCTGAAGAATTTTAGTTGATGTGAATTGTAAATATGAGATAGCATTCAGTTTAAGTGAAATAGCCAAAACATTGAGTATATCAGTAAATTGCGAAAAGACAAGAATTTTTATTGGAGGCTTTTGATTATACATCGTTGTTGTTGTTGTTGTTGCAATTATATTTGGTGCTTGTTGAATATCAGCATCGAGAAGATTGAGAATAAATGAAACAATAGAATCAACTTTTGTACCGTAACGACCTTGAATAGTTAAAACTTCTTTGGTCTCTTTTAAACGGCGAAGACGTGGAGATGAAATATCCTCTGTCATAGAATTATCCATTGATATTTTTTGTGGTGATGACATAGCTGTTGTAGAGTTTTGATTTTGCCATTTAAGAACGGCTAAGGAATTGATTGGAATTTCGCGACGACCTAGATTCATATTGACAAAAAAACAAAGTAATTTTAAAATATAAGTTAAATAAAATGAAAACATACAAATAGGACATTTTATGTGTGATCGATGTACTCGTTGATCAATTTCACGTTGTTTCCACTGTAATGAACATTCACGACAAAAGAAATGGCCACACAAAAAGAAACAAACATCAGGTCGATCATCACCAAATAACTCATGACACATTGGACATTTTGTTCGTTCTGATGAAATAATATTTGTTTCTGCAATTGAACGATAATAATCTTGTTGTTGTTCTTGAAAATAATTAAATTGTTTTCGATGTTTAATAACTTTTTTTAAATAATCTAATGCTTGTTGCTCCAGATCTACACGCTCTTCTTCGATAGTTTGAGGATTAAAACGAAAACGATTATTACGTTTCTTTGGGCGATGTTTTAATTCACCGCTATAGTATTCAAGACGTGATGTACATTGAAGCATTTCATCTAGCAATAAATATAAATGTTTTAACTGTTGAGAATATGTTCGTGCCGATGAATTTTCTAAACGAAGTCTTTTTAATAAATCATTCCAATCTGTGCGTAACAATTTTGCTAATCGACGAGTCGACTCACGAGAACGCATTGAAGCTTTCGATAGAATTTCATTTATGAAATAAACCAAATGTGTACCACCATCATCATTTATTTGTTTATCAGAATATAATTCAGGTTGAATACTAAAAATAGTACTCATTCAATAGAATATTATATTTAGTTGATTAAATTATCTTAGAGACAAGTATAAGAATTCGTGTCAATTCAACAATTTTCAATAATCTTAACTATGCACTTGCCCTTCTATATTAAATGAATCGCTACTATTTTTATTTTCTCAGGTGTCTACATTGAACACTAGAGAAACAGTGATGAACATGTTAGATCAATATTTGTTAATTCAAAATTTCAGGACTACTTCTATTTATCAACAATTTCAAGTAGTATTATTGGTTTCTCAAGTAATTTGAAAATTTGTTTAATTTGATTTACCAATTAGAAAAAGTTAAACGCTCTAGAATAGAGAATATTAAAACATCAAACATAGATTCGATGAAAAATATATGGATCGAATCAATGGCTTTTCTAAAGGACGGGGGCGCATGAGGTGCCAGTTTTGGACCATCGTCTGTTTCGGTTTGTTTATAGCTCACTAGACACAGAATTTTACGAGACAATGTTTGATACCAAAATCACTGTGTAGTAATGAAAAATCTATCACGGTTAGTGTAAGAATTATAGAATATTCCAATCGACTCTTGCACTATTTTCGCAATATCTCAATTNCATTCAATAGAATATTATATTTAGTTGATTAAATTATCTTAGAGACAAGTATAAGAATTCGTGTCAATTCAACAATTTTTCGAGAAAAATATATTTCATTGAAGAAGACTGAAATGCACATCAACCAACTCAACTTTTTACGCTGATTCCAAATACGCTATTTTTTTCTATACAATTCTATTTTTTCCGATTAAAATAGACGAGAAATCTGAGGAAAATACAAAAAACCCGTATCCAAGATAGAGTTATACCATTTTATTTTATGAAGGCCACTTCTGAACAAAACCAAAAGTATCAGGTTTTTTAGCGCTGTGTCCAATCTTGTAGAATCAATCAAAACCCCATTTTATTATATTCCTTTATTGAGATATTGCGAAAATAGTGCGAGAGTCGATTGGAATATTCTATAATTCTTACACTAACCGTGATAGATTTTTCATTACTACACAGTGATTTGGGTATCAAACATTGTCTCGTAAAATTCTGTGTCTAGTGAGCTATAAACAAACCGAAACAGACGATGGTCCAAAACTGGCACCTCATGCGCGCCCGGTCTTTCTTTTTGTAATCAAATTTTCTCCTGAGTCATAATAAATCAATGATAAATCAGTAATCAATTTTCGTTTTATCGTTATAATACCTGTTGTGGTCTGCGTGAGCTTACATTAGACAATAAATGACAGTTCTCAAATTGGTCATATTAAGATTGATATCGTCAAAGAAAAAGCTATTAACTGGTTACAAAATAATGTTTCTGCACACCTACCCCTATTTCAACTGTAATCTACTATTTGATATCATCTCCGATCTATACAGAGATCTCATTAGAACTCCAATAGGAGTCTGAACAATAGATCATAATTAAAGTCTAACATTTGTTTTACGATATATATCAGAGCTCGGACGAAAGTATTTGCACGTGTACTTAGGGAAGAGTACTTCGTACTCATATGTTCCATTCATTATGACTCACCCAGTATAACTATCAAGTACTTTTCCTACAGTATAAGTATAAGCACCAAATACTTTACTTGATAGACAAGTACCAGTACCAAGTATTTTCTTTTCAAGTACAAGTATACAGGCAAGTATACTTGTGAAACGACAAGTAAAAGTACAAGTACATGTTTTTGAGTACAAGTAAAAGTAAAAGTAAATATTTTCAAGTACAAGTAAAATACTTTTACTTGCTGTACTTGTACTCGCCCTAGCTTATATATATATATATATATATATATTTAGTTCATTAGTTACGTACCTGCAATTATAACTTTTCATAATTGTATCACACTCGCAAAAGATACAACTATTTTCATTTGATGAATCATTATCAAAACCACATTTAGAACAGGCAGCAATGTGTGCAACATCATTATCATTCGGTTGTCGTTTTAATGTTTCAATATAAATTAATAGATTTTTTCGAATTCGTTGTAATTTATCAAATTCTTGAACTAATTTTAATAAGAATCCATTCCATGTTGTAAATGGTAATTGTCGTTCACGATTAACATGATAATGTATCTCAAGTCTTTCATTTTCAATTGGTTTAATACATGCCGATATATCTATTAGTAAATTTTTAATATCATTTGCAACTTCTTTGTGTTCTAATAATTTTTCATTGTAATTTTTCCATGCTTCACTCATTTCATGTTCAGATTGTGTTTGATGTCGTTCTTTAATCTTATTAAATTCACGTAATGCTTCATCATTTGAAAATTTACTAAAAATAAAATTTATTTTAAAATAAAAATACAAGTAAAAGATCTTCAAATAATTTAATAACCTTTGAATATTAGTATTGGAATTTTCATTTTTTTGAAATAATGAAATCGAATACGAAAGATTAGAATAAGCATGAGCTAATTGAAATGAATCAGCATGAAAAGGCTCTTTATAAGTATCTGATATTTCGATCACTCTTTCATATGTTCGAATAGCCATATTAATGTAATATTGATTATTTTTATTATTATTTTCATTTAAAGGTCGAGTAATTTCATTTTCATATTGTATAAGATAAATACTAGCAAGACCATTAAAATTAAGTAATGAAAGACGAAGGCAATCTTCTCCACTCTCAAGTTCACGTGCTGTTAATAGGTCAAGTAAATCTTGCATTGCAAATGGTTGATCATTTGTATTCATCGATGAATTTGTGTCTAATAAATCAACGTGACGTCTAACAGAAAAGTGTCTATTCGACGAATGATGAAAGCGATTATAATAATGAACAAGTGCTGGATCGTTATGTCTAGTGAAAAAAATAATAAAAAGCATTAAATTAATTTATTTTTGAATTATTCAAATAAAATCTTGTTTACCTAACACCATGTGCACCAACTTGTGGATGATCACATAAGCAACGGAGTTTTATTAATGGCGTTTGAAGACAGCTACGAGCTGCTGATGATAAAAAATGAATATCATCCATATCGACTTCACCAATCGATTCTAAGGTCCATGTTGCAGGATGTTCAGGTAAAACTCCACCTGTTTAAATGAAAATCAATATTTTATTCTCGAAGCATGACTTTTAACTGTGAATTTCCTTTTACAATTCGGGTGATGCTAGTTCGCAGAACTCGTTACATTTAATTATAGTATTCTTAATTGCAGATAAATCACTAGAAGTTATTATTTTAGAAATTTTATCTTAGTTTGATTTGTCATAACCAAAATTTTAACAATTAATACATCTTAATTGTTTAGATTCGTCTATTACACTCATGTGTCAAAAAATAATAGATATCCTATTTCGATTAGTTACCTTATTCCTACTCTTTTTTTTATAAATAATATGCCTTCGAGACAACAATAGAATGCTTACTATTTAAAATAAAGTATATGACAAGACTTTTATTAAAGACTTTTTGGTATAGAATTCTACAAAGTATCTTGATCGATTTGAAAAAGATTTATTAAATTCTGTATATTCGCAACATTGGTGGTATCAAAATATGAAAATTGAACACATATACTTGGGACTTCAATTGATATTAATCATGCAAATAACTACGATCAACGAAATTATTTTCACTATTATATTTTTAAATAGTAGAAATTAACATAATTTGAAAAACATTAAAATGCTAATAGTAACTGGTATCTTCTCATGTCAATACGTGGGTAAGAAAACAACTTTAGTATACTATCTATAAAAGAATACAATTTAAAATATCAGCATCATAGAAAGGATTTATATTTATTTTTTCTTATGTCTCGTTTGAATACAGCGAAGATAGCATAATTTTATTTATAATAGCTATTACATATTATCTTAGATTTAGTTTCGACGAACTGCAGTAAATTCTCTCATGAATTTCAGAGCATTGATTCGAAAAAAAATATTGACATAAATTACCGTTCCTTTCTTTTTCCCTTTTTTGCCACAAGTGCTGAAATTCTCGTTTAAATTCATCTCGACATTCATTCCATATTCGATCATAATACATTCTCTCCAGTTCAGAGAATTTCAAACCTATGACACGTTCTAAAACGATTAAAAACAATGTAATATTTCGAATGTTAAATTCGAATTTCAATCTAAATACCATATTGTTCAGGTAAATCATTTAAACATTGACGAGAAGTTCGTCGAGTGATCAACTTCAGAAAATTCATTATCCATGATAAAAATACATCATTTATTTTATCCTTTTTACGTAACAATGTTGATACTTGATCGCGTGGTACGCTATTTATTGGAAATAAATATTGAATGATTCCTTCAAGATCATTAATTGAACGATGAAACGGTGTCCCAGTAACAAACCTTGATAAAAAAAAAGAAGTTATTTTCGTTTTTATGTGTAGATTACAACGATTTACCATCGATGATGTGCTACAAGAGATCGAGCCATTTTCGATGTTGGTGTATTTGGCGAATCAACCCTATTTTGATAGTAATTAAAATTGTTTGAAAATTTTAATAACATATAGGAAGATAGTTTTCAGTCATTTTTTTGTTGTCGTTTTAATCGAAGCCTAGGCAGCAACGATTAGAATACTTTTTTTCTTCGCGAATCCCTTAACAGTAGACTTGAATGATAATTCAAAATTATAATTATTCGAAAAATATCTATATTTATACTCAATTGAATATTTCTAGATAGAATTTATCTAAAATTGATTTCACATTTTTATTAACAAACTCATGAATTCTTGTAAGTCAATTAATATGTTGGTTCCTCTAGATTTTTATACAGTCAAGACGAGGTTGAAGAATCTACATTGAAGTCTATCGCTTTCAATATTTAAAGTAGCTTACATTTGAGCTTCATCAAGTACTAAAAAAGAAAAAGAAATATGAATATTTTAAGAGATAAAAATGAAATTACTAACCAAGACGCCAGAATTTTAATTTCAATAGTGGACTTATCAAATATGAATATTTTCGTACTTGAGTTCGTGTTGAATGGTGTTCTTTTGAACATACTTCATTATGGTGAATGTCTTTCTTTAAATTTTCATACGAACAAAATATAAAATCTTGTTTTGCCAGAAAACGTCGATCGGGTATTGGTATTTTATTAACAATACCTTCATACATATATATGTTTAAGGGACAATTTAAATGTTTATCTACTTCTTCAATCCATTGATCAATAATTGCTGCCGGTGCAATAATTAATGTAGCACCAGTTGATAATAATTGTTGACTATCTGTTAAACGTTGTTCACAATAAGGACACATAAATACTTCTTGATTATTTTCCGACTGAATAAAACATTTTTTATGCATTGAACGAGAACATTGTGAACAAAGCAAAATAGAATTTTCTTGCACATTTCTTTGTTTTTTTGTTTCCTTTACTATTTTACCACAAACACAAGGAAGAGATAGTTGTTCGTCGGATTTAAATTTTTTATTTGCTGAACAATCTTCATTATCATCGAGTATTGTTGGTTTTATATCTATAGAATTTGCCGAAAGGAACGAGTTTGAACATTTATTTAATAATGACGTTAAAAGTACACACATTGTTTTTCCAAGACCCATTTCATCCGAAAGTATTCCACCAAATAATGAGAATTGTTCATTAGACCAATTATTTATGTCATTTTTTTCTAATGGTATACCATATATAATATGAACATAAAATAAATTATCGAATAAATCATGACAACAATGTAAAGGCGTATAAACAATGGATGATGATAAATCTAGTTCTCGTTTAAGCATCCAATTAACTATTTAAAAAGAACAAAAACAAATAAGTTAAACAAAAAATTAATTTGTTTTTACTTGATTTTATTTGATGATCTTTCAATTGAATAACATCATTTTTAAGTAAAGACTCGATTGAAATTAATGAATTATTATTATTATTATTATCCATGTTAATCATTGTAGTTGCTTGAATTTCTTGATAAATAAAGTCAATAATATTATTTGCATTCGTATCACTATTACTCATTTGTAATGTAGATTGATAATCATCGAATACAAACAAATGTTTAAAATATCGGTTTGTTTTGTCATTTTCTTTACAATAAGAATAAAATATAAATAAATTTAAATTTTGTTTTGTATTTTTTGCTGAACTTAACAAGTAAACAAGTGTTAATGTACATTGTTCTAATGAATAATATAAATACAATTGCTCATTTTTGATTAAATCATATAACCATTTTAATGGGTGAATTTTATTTTTTAAATAGATATTATCTTCATCATTATTAGAAAAAATGAATGGATCGTGAAGAAAAATTTCCTCTCTAATCACATTTATATCCCAATGTTCATAATAAAGTTCAGCTAAACAAAGACAATTACTGTCAATTGGAAGAATATCACTATTGATACATGACAATGGATTTGTTTTAATACCATCATATGTTAATAGGGGATCGATCTGGCTATCTCGAAGACGATATGTGTTACTACGTCGATGACGAGGCATTTGACTAGAGAAAAATTCACTTTTTGCTGATGTTGAAAATAACAATCAAAATTATCCTTCAAAATTCTCTCATTGGGTAAACTATGGACTCAATGAAAATCATATGGTGTAGCCATGTCGTGAATAAAAACGCATTCGTATGAAGTAAAAATATAGTTCTATTTAGATCGGTTGCATTTTAAATATTTCCTATTGAAAATTTTCTAGATGGCACTAAATGATTGTCAAATTTTAATGTGTTGAAAATTAAAATTTCTAGTAGAACGATGTATTTTTTTCGAATCATCAAACAACGATCGTATGATAATCTTTATTATTCTATTTGTAGTGTTTTTTTTATAACACTGAGTCATTCTAGTTCATTTAGTTCATAACTGTAAAACGAACTATCTTTCAAGTTTTATTTCACACATCTATATGATTAATCAAAAATATCAAAAAGAAAACTGATTGTTTTTCTAAATCTTTTTTTTTAATCTCAAGATTCCGTTTTATTGGATAGTCTTTATTGACATTGAAATCGCATGGATAAATCAATTGCTTTTACATCTTTGGTCAAGGTGCCGATTGCAATATAATCCACTCCAGTTTCTGCTACTGCACGAAGTGTTATTTCATTAATACCACCAGACGCTTCGATTTTGGCACGACCGTTATTAATGTGAACTGCTTCACGCATTTCATCTAAATTCATATTATCTAATAGAATCATATCAGCATTAGCATCAAGTGCTTGTCGTAATTCATCAAGATTCTCAACTTCTATTTCAATGGGTTTATTTGGTGCAATTTCACGTGCACGTTCAATAACTTTTTTAATACTATTATCACATGCTGCAATATGATTTTCTTTTATAAGAAAAGCATCGTAAAGTCCAAAACGATGATTATGACAGCCACCTTGTTTCACGGCATATTTTTCAGCAAGGCGTAAACCAGGTATTGTTTTACGTGTATCGCGTACTTTAACATTTGTTCCTTGAACTAAGTCAGCATAATGACGACATCGAGTAGCTATTCCTGAGAGTAATTGAAGAAAATTAAGAGCTGTTCGTTCACCAGTCAGCAATATTCGAGATGGTCCTCTTAATGTACATAAAATATAATTTGCTTCTACGCGGTCACCATCTCGTACATTCCATTGAATAGTTACATTGCTTGAATCAAGTTGACGAAAAACTTCATCGAACCATAATATTCCACAAATAATGCTCGGTTCACGAGTTATAACAGTTGCATTTGATATTTGTTCTAATGGAATAAGTTGAGCGGTCACATCACCATCACCAATATCTTCCTGTAATGCACAGCGCACATCGGTTTCAATTGTTAATTGAGGTATGTCTGCATGATCCATAATAGATTTTTAATATCAATCAAAATGAATCAAGAGAGAAAGATTCTACAAATAAACCACGTTCGTTTGCACCTGTAAAAGAAACTAATGACTAGACGATGAAGTATCGTATGTGTATGTATATTCCTACGCATGTGTTATACATACAAAGCGGCCAACAGAAGAGTAAAATAAATAGTTTTCTTTTTCCTTCGTTTCTTTTTTTATGTCATACTTCTTTTTCTTCCTGTTTTCTTCGTCATCTTAATCAACCAAAAAGAAAACGAAATGGACTGTCGATGACTCGTATAGCAAGCGGCTGAGTAATGTTATAAACACCTCCTACTTTCTTTCTACAGCGATCGACTCAGAGCACGAGGTTGCAATATATGTAGGCGTCGGAGAGAAAAAAAAGAAAAGAGTCGCAAACATACATTTACGTTTCGGTGACGTGAAGAACGTAAAGAAAATTATTGATTGTTTTTTATTTATTTTACTTTTTTTTCTTTCGAAATTAGTACGTCATCAATTTCAATCTCATATGAATATGTATCCAAACTTTCATTACACATCATCTTTCCCACAACAACAGCAACAACAATCTCAACCAATTCAATGGGGGTATCAACCATCATTTTATAATGGATATAGAGCAAATGCACCGATTATTCTAGCTCAACCAGTGCCTGTAGTTCAAAATTATCTAACACCCCTACAGCAACAACAACAACAACAGCATCGAATTGATACACAACTATCATCATATCCACCTTCCATGAAAACATATAATCGTTTTCGTAATGCTTTTTCATGTTCTCATCAACAAGATTCAAATAATTCTGATGACGAATATCTTTATCATGAACAACAATTAAATCGTAATTTAACAAAACATGATATTGAACGACTACCAGTTAAAGGTGATGGTAATTGTCTATTTTATGCGCTTGCCGAAGGTCTGATGTATGAAATGAAAGTTGATCCACATGAATTTGGTTTACAATTACAACGATTATTTCGTTTATCAAAAAATTTTCGTTTAGTGGATTTTGCCGATTGTCTAAGACAATTATGTGTAGATCAATGGCGATTGCATGAAGATTATTATAGTCAATTTGTTGATAAAGAAAAAGTTTCATTTCTTAAAGAAGTTAAAAAATTTTCTAAAAATGGTGTTTCTGATTCAACATTGGGCGATATTGTGCCATTGACTACTGCAAATGCACTTAATATTAACATAACTATATTTACTTCAGTATTGAATTTACCTCGTATTGATGTTAAGCCTGAACGCAAGAGTAATTTATTACCCTTAACTCAAAAGACAATCTATCTAGCTTATAATCAACATGGGATAGGTCACTATGATGCTGCATATCCTCGTACTTGATATGTACAATAAAAAAAAACAATGGTGTCTATTTTGTTAATTTGTTTTTCTTCACAAAATGCAAGGACAAAGGTTTAAACCTTCTTTTTTTTCTTTGTTTAGGCTAGTGTTTTGCTTTTTTTCTTGTTAACAGTAGTGGAAAATGTTTGTTTCACGAATGTTGACACCACAAAAAATAAAACATTATTTAGGAAAAAAAACTCGATAGCGTTATACTAATAATCTATAGTCGTCGTCGCCGTCTTTGATCTGGATATTCCAATACATAGAAATTATCATCATCAGTTCGTTGATCATTTGCTAAAAATAATAAATTGATGTATTGCATAGAAATATTATCGCTTGTTTTTCATACCATTTGGAATGTTTTTATTTAGCATTCGATTCGTATTGTATGCCGAAGAAAGCAAACCGATTGAATCAGGATTAGCTGTTGGTAGAAACGGTGCATGCTTAGAATAACTTGACGCCGGACTAAATCGTTTACCGAATCTGAATAAAACTATAGGAAGTTAATTATTTTAAAATAATTATCGCTTTTACCGAGGTCGAGCTATAATTGCATAATAATTATGCAATAATTTCCAAAAAAGTGCTTGTTCATCTGGTGATGCGTTCGAAGGTGGTCTTTGAGGAGGATTAGGAAAACTAGCCGATGATGTTAAGTGAAATGATACAACCAATAAAATAAGAAGATTGACTAATAGTGATAGACTAATGGAGTTCATTTTTTAAAATAGGACTATATCAAATTGCAAAATAATAGATTAATGGTTTAATGTCCTGAAAAAAAGGATTTTATTTTAAATTTTAATGTCTGATCAAGATTTCAAGTATACTGCTTAGTTTTTCTTGTTGTGTGAAAATTATTGCTTAATGTTTTTACGTGATGGAGTCATAACTATGATAAAACTCGGATGTAAAAAATTTTCAGCTACTTACTCATAAGTCATAATTTTATTTTAGCTATCAGATAACCCATATATATATGTTGTGGTCAAAATTCAAATCCAGTCAAATTTTAAATTTGCTCGGGCAAAATTCAAATTAGAATTTTGTCCAACAAAATCCCAGTCAAAATTCTAATTTCGATTTTCACTAAACAAGTTGTTGCTTCTTTATGTTTTTTTCTTTAGTTTATTTTGCTCATCAAAAGGAATTTCCGATTTCGTCTAGTGAAAATCGAATTGAGAACTTTTTTAGTAAAAATCGAAATTAGAATTTTGACTGCGATTTTGTTCGGCAAATTTTAAATTTGACTGGATTTTAATTTTGACCGCAACATATATATATATATGTTTATCAAAGTTTTCCTACAATATCCTACTTCTGATATTCGCTATGATGTATAGTGTTATTTTACCACTCGCAATAGCCTACCTATTATGAATCCAACACAATACTAAGCATCAGAGCTCGGATGAAAGTACTTGTACTTGTACTTAGGGAAAAGTACTTCATATTCATACGTTCCATTCATTATGACTCACCCAGTATAACTATCAAGTATTTTTCCTACAGTATAAGTATAAGCACCAAATACTTTACTTGATAGACAAGCATTTTCTTTTTAAATACAAGTACACAGGCAAGTATACTTGTGAAACGACAAGTAAAAGTACACGTACATGTTTTTGAGTACAAGTAAAAGTGAAACTAAGTATTTTCAAGTTTAAGTAAAATACATTTACTTGCTTTACTTGTACTCGTCCTAGCTCTGCTAAGCATGATTCAATTTTTAGAAAATAATTCTTTCCGACTGAATAATTAGTAGATTCTAAAATATTTATATTTCTAAAAAGGTTTTATCTGAAATATATTTTTACGGAAATCATGAGTTTTGTCCGAAAATTTTGATTCATTTTCTTACAAAAGTTTAATGACTCCATCATAGAATGACTATTTCGACTTTATCAGATCAGTGAGAAAATAATTTTGTTCTGTTTACTTAGATACTATTGACAGATTCAATACCATTAACATTAATAGTATCAACGATATTTAGTTATTCTCTCCTGATTTATGGCAACATCTATACAATTTACTTTCAATATAACAAATAGAAAAAAGAGATATTACTTGGAAAACGAAACAAACGTCTTATAACTTACTTTTTTTCCTAATGTTCATGCAATCTTGATAGACAGTACAACGACTGAGGTAAAAGAATGGTTTTCTCTATTACTGAAGATCTTTAATTTTATTTTATTAACTTCCTTTCGTGCTATTAGCTAGTAGTTTCTTAAAAGGCCACCCATGAGCCCGTCAAGTTATCGCAGCACTCGTCAAAATTTAGTTTTCGCATTTGAGATTCTCATCGCGTTCAGCACGGTCTTAAACCTCTGAATCCAAATTTTCAGCCTATTTGGTTGAACTGTTCATTTGATCATTTTGTCTTTCAAACAGATACATCAACGACTACATCATTTTTGAATGATTGCTCAAAAAGTTCTAACAGACACATTGTCCATCTTTCAACATATGTATATTATGATCAAAGATGAAATCATTGAGTTTATCTCAATAGACGACGATAAGTGTTTAAATCATTAGTTTTTATAGAATATACGTACGTATGTGCATAAAAGCACATCGTGCTTATGTGAAAAGTATTGCATATGATTTACTATCTACTATAGATCTTATTTTTCAACGAAAAGAATAATTTTTAAATTCTTTTTTTTTAAAACTGAAATTTTGTTAGTCAGCATTGTGACCTATTTTTCATCTAAAACCTAAATTTGTTTTTAGACTTTTCTTCAACCATTTTGTAGTGGAGAATCGATTGTACAATGTTCTGTAGAACTTATTCTGGGTACTCATTAAATGGCTGAGTGAAAGCTAAAATATTGAAGAAAATTGAAACTGTTTTTGTTCGAAAAATCACGGGTCATCGATATTGCTTACTAGATACTCGTGGACTGGTTGATTTAAAATAGGAAATGTGAATAGCTCACTTTGCTCAGCGGTCAACGGTCCGTCTATTGATATATGATGCGAAATTTTTCATCGATTGGTTGTCGTATAAAAACAGCTCAAATATAAAAGATGCTCGCTGAAATTTTTCTTAAAAGTATTTTAGGGTGCTTGAAAGTCGCTCGTAGTGAATGTTTGAACAGTTCAACCAAATAGGCTGAAAATTTGGATTCAGAGGTTTAAGACCGTGCTGAACGCGATGAGAATCTCAAATGCGAAAACTAAATTTTGACGAGTGCTGCGATACCAACTGGATCCTCAATGCACTCATGGGTGCTTTCGTAACAACTTCAGAGACCTGGTATAAATACATGTGCTCAATTATGCACAGTATGTAGTATCCTACGGGAACAACTATTTTTATTCTCGTCTCATGAGATTTAAGGAATCTTTTTTAGTATTGTTTTCACTCTTTAGGACAACTCTCACTATCATTCACTGGCTTCAAAATGACAGTATGCATTGCGGATAATGCGTTAAATCTTTCTTACTATCGATGAAGGGTCAAATGAAAAGGAAATGAGAACAGTAAGATTAAACTGCGATGGCGTTATTGAGGTTTTTCTACAGGAAGTTCGGTTCCGTAGGGAAATAGGTCGAAAGACAGCAATCCTGCAGAACACTGATAGAATATCCGGATGACAAACTTCTATACGTAATAATAAATAGGAATATGATTTTTAGCACATATTTTCATGATTATTTTACATGGAAAAGACTCGAGCAAAAATTGCTAATAACAATATTTTTTCTTGAAATGTACTATCCATATAGTTATGCTTAAATAAACTCATAAATATTCTAATTAAAATAAAATATAAGATTTAGCGTGAAATTCTGGATAGAAAAAAGAGAAAAATAAAATTGGCTATTTTAGTGACGCTTTTCATTACAACTGAAGATACATGAATAAAAATTCATTGCTTTTAATTATCAGTGGTATCCTCTGGTCGTTATGAAATTTCTTTGTCGTCTAGCAGACAATAGCTTTTAGGAAAGAAATATACTTTATTATGTAGAAACGCTGTAAACGCTTGTGAAGAAAAAGATGAGGAGGAATAACAGGTAATAGGAAACAAAACTTACACTAGATTTAACAGGACTTCTTAATAATAATGCAGTTTTCTCTATAAACTATATTAAATAAGAGGAAAATAAGTGTAGGAGTTAATGTAACAGGAAAAAAACGGAAAACGATCAATCATTACCACCATTCGACAGCAACAAAACAAAAGCTTCACACTAATTTTATATTAGTCTATCAAATTCATTCATCTATATTCATTGAATATAAAATAAGAAAATCTAAATAGAAATACGGTATAAATAATTAATAAATATCACAGTTGACAAATCGAACTTAGATTAAATATTATTTTCTAAAGAAAAAGAAAAAGAAATATCATACAAAACAGAAATTATTCAATTATTAAGAAACTACCTCTTTGATTTTCCATAGAATCATGATTAAATTAACTTAGAAGATTATGTGATCGAAAGGAGAATACATGACATCAATAAACCTAATCTATCACTTGATATTAACATATAATTTTTAATAGAAAATTATTCAATGATATTGATAGAGAAAAAAAGAACAATCTTATTATATTCATCTATTCAAAAGTAGTAAAGCACAACAAAGGAAATCTTGAGCTTTACTGTAATAATGATCGAAGATCGATAGGACATGAGAACATGAACTATTACTTCAGCGCATGAATAAGTGCTCTTTTTTTATTTGCCATGCTCACTATATTTTATCTTATTTTCATGAAGAAAAGTTGAATTCTGAAACTAAAATATTTTCATATAACAATTAAAAATTTTTGTTCTTTTGTAATGAGGCTACAGTTGTTGATTAGCTTTTTAAAATGTTAATTCATTTAGCATTGTTTCTTTTGAAATAGAGTTTATTATATTAAATGATTAACACAAAATTAATGAATGGTAACATTGTTTATATATATATATGAAAGTATTCACATCAAATTTATGATAAAATAGAAAATGATTCTTCAGATCATCAAAATGCTGAGTAAAATTCATATTGCAATTCAAATATATTATCATGGTTTAAATAGCAAAGGAAATTTATTCACTAATGATTTCAGACGAAATTTCTCGTAGACTTTACAAATATTTTTCAACTCATAAATCAATAAATATCAATACTTAGGTGAGTATATATGAATTATTCAATACAGATCAGATGTTTGCACTGTATTGTACTTGATTAATCGATAATATAAAATATTATAATCAGATAGCAAAACTAGCATAGAAATGATGAATAGTAGCATCTAATTGTAAAATAAAATGCCCTGTGTAAATGAAAGCAGGGTCCAATTATCATCGATCATATTAGAAAATGAATCAAACTCAATTGTTATGGATTTTTAAATGAGACTTTTACACGAATTACGACACCATATTACATACAATTTCTCATCTCCACAGGTTAGTAGCGAGTAGAGGTGTCGGCTTAGCATTAAAAGTGAAAATAATGCATTGATTTATTTCTCACGGAAAATCAATTAACACTAAATGTTTAGAATAAAAAGTAGCATCGGTGTTAGGAATGCTAATTTAGTGAATAAATCGGGGTGTTGGTGTTTTCTTTAGCATAACACACTAATGCATTATTTTCAATTTAATGCTAAGCCGACACCTCTGGTAGCGAGGGTATTTGCAGGTCACATCGTTTCTAGTTTCTGATTTTGTTAATACCCTTTCTTTATAATTAGAATATGTTTACATTAATCACAATAAACGATAATCATTAGTTTCCGGTAATTTCAAATAGGATATATCTATGTGTGATCTTCGTTATTGATTAACATGATAACAAAACCTTTATTACGAAGCATATACAGGCCACAGAATACATAGTTTGTATTAACCCGTAAATAATCATTAGATGTCATCTACAATCATATATTGATAGCTTTTATAGCTTAATGTTATGAATATAGATCGTTGTTGCCAGAAAACAAAAGCTATCGGGTCATCATATGCAGAAAACTGTTAATTGAAATCGAGATGAATTGTGATTTTACTGCAAGACAATGAAAAACCATGTTCATAAACACGCCTCTGAGAGTAAAATTGTTAATATTGTCTTGGTTTAAACTGTTTAATTCTAAAATTAGCGTCTGAAAACCCTTTTTTCCCTTCTAGAGAGCAGATCAGAACGAAATGATCATAGAATGATGTTTTTACTGCCCTAAAGATTTCTAAAGGTGATTATCAAACGATAAGCATCTTTAGTTATTATGAGCGATAAGCATGAAAAATATGATAACAAAAAACAAACATCAATCAATTTAATTAGTATCAGTACCAAATCCGTGTCATGCCATCAGTGAAGTACGATTAATCGAAAATTTATATTAAAAAAAAAATATTAAGAATATTATGCTTTTTTGATGTAACAAAGAAAAAATCAGAAGCTTTCAAAGAAATAGATTGTCAAAGAATAATTACATTCGTCATCGAGTTTGCTATCGTGTTTATAAATATCCTTGGGTACTTTTTCATGCTATCAACTTATCCGAAAATAAGACTAGATCATGAAATTAGTTCAAACAATAGCTTTTATATAATTAGAAAAAATGCCCTATCATGACGAGAAACTCATATGTTTTAATGAAAATCGCAGTTATGAATTCCATAGGTATTACTTCTTCAATCATTATGGAGATTATCATTGGTTCGTAATAAATGCTTACTTGCGTTTTATATCAACGAAGTTCTCAATAGAAATTAGTTTCATTTCAGATTTTTGGATTTGTTGACGACAAATCAAATGATAGTAAAACTTATCGTGTAAACGATGTTGATCAGTCTTAGCGTTTCAAAATATTCAAACACTTAAATAATAGTTATTCTAATGTGTATGAACGATACATAAAAGAGATTCAGCAAGATTACGAAGTCAAAAACTTCCAAATATGAGTTCTTTCAAAATAAACTAACAATTAAAGTTTGTATACAAAATATATTCGATGTATTGTTTGGTTAGTATGAAAAAAATAAAATAATAAAATCATTCTTAGTGCAATCTTCTTTTACTATGATTAAGATTCATCCAGAAAAATAAATTTTATACTTAAAAACTGTGTAGCTTAAGAAATCCTACTAATGAGAAGATCTAAGGTTTTACAACATCAATTCGATATGATTATTCACAATTTTTCTTTTACTCGAGAGGATATTTGATCACGACTAAGTTTGGTTAACAGAAAAGGTCACACCCATACATCAATGTTGTAAAAAATGCAATTTTCAGCTCATCAACATTTGAAAAAATTAAAAGATCAGAGATTAACTACAGAAAATATTTAGATTTCAGAAGCTTTCTGAATTTTTCACAATATCGAAGAACTATAAAATTTAACTAAAAGATGAATATAATTTAGTACGACGGCAAATGACTAGTGCCAAATGTTTGATACTCTATCAGGATCCAAACCAAGTTTAAGCTACTGGAAACATATTGAAGCCTTAACCGAAGTTTTGCAGCAAAAACTGAAAAATCTTGTAAAATGATTTAATGAATAGAATTTGAAAATATTCATTATTTACTGCTGTTTAGTGGCGGCGCCACGGTGGGGGTTGTGGGAGCTGAGTCTCCTCAGATTGTTTTTTGGAAATTTCCTAGCGAACTTAATTTTTTCTGATATTAGTATTTCAGAGCTTGCGGCTGAGCCCCCTTGTGACGGCATAAGCGCCACTGATGGTATCTTAGTGCCTGTTTATTTCTTTTTCTAGCTTCTCTCTCTTTTTCTCTTGTTTGTTTTAGCGCCTAATATTGTTAATTCATTATTCTTATTCTTCTCTTTTTTCTTCAAGCTTCTTCATACATCATTCTTCACTGAGATATACCTATACTCATTCTTTCAATACCTTTCGCTCATCATTCGAGCGTATCTTCTCAGACTACGATTTTTTCTTCTCGATTAATTACAATTACATTTTTTCTTTCAACTTGATTGTCCCTTACAATCGTTCGAACTCATGTCAGCTACTTGCTTGTGGAGTTCTTCTTATTCTCAACTATTTCTGTTCATTGAAGAAACAATTGAATCTTCATCCAATATGCAATACTATTTTATTTTCATTGTTCTCATTCTACCATAATTAGTACTGTGGCATCTGGCGTTTTCATTAGTTGCGTATGATCCTCATCAAGGCGTTACACTCCTCGCATCTAAATTTCTGGCGCCGCCGCTACTGCTGTTTTCTGTCGATTGTTAGAAAAGCTCCTTAAATACTTCTGACGAATTCTCTATCTGTTTTAAGCTATTTTCAACTGCAACTAAACAGGAAATTTCTTAGTTTTCATCAAATCCATACTTTGAGTGTTATTCAGATAATCACGTTTTAATAAAGCCGATTTTATCTCGAAGAGTATCCTGAGGTTGTTTAAAATAGGGTAAGATCAATAATTCACACATTAGATTGGAGTAATTGTGCTAAAGTTAAGAAATTTTTTTCAAATTTAATGAAGAGGAGAAATGAACAAGGTGTTGCCGCTTCGCTGAAGAAAAACGATAACTCCCTAGATTTACAATTCATCCATTGGTTACAACATTGTCATATTTCGTTACTTGTCTGGACTAGTTTCAATAAAAAATCTGTCAAATATTTCATCAAAATTTTTAGTGTTATCTTGTTTATTATCATAATTATTAAAACTTGTTTTCCTCACCAATAAAATTGTTTTGCCTCTCCCATATAAAGAATGTCTGATAAACACACGCACACACACAGATAAATGTACACATGTATACTATGTACACATAAACTAATAAGAAACAAAAAGGAATCTTCACCGTATGCTTTCATTACGCGCATAGACAAAATTCATTGTATTCCATTTTAGTTTTTTTTTGTTATTTCTCAAAAAATGAACATAACTTTTTCTTTTTCATTTGTCGCACCACAAGGAAATGAAAAAAAGTGTGCGACAAATCTGGGGATTCATCTCCCAAACGGAATACAAAGATACAGAGTGAAATGAATAGTACAGCGCACTATACAAAGTTGAAAGACGATTAACAAAGAAATAACTTTTTTTCTCGAATTTTCTTGGCCATATACAAAAAAATTCAGTTTGTGTAAAAAGAAAAGAAAAGAAAAGAAAAAAAAAAGAAAAACACTTTTTGTGTGTACAAAATGTGCACCAATAAGTATTTCATGCACATATCTCAACACACATCTTCTACAATGGAACCTATTATTCAGAGACGCAGAAGGAAGAAAAAGGACCAGAAACTTTTCAAACTATGCATCATTTGGTGTAGACAAAAAGAAAAGATAATGAAAAGAAACGCATTGTGATCACCGGGTTGTAATCTCAGATAAATTTAAAAAAAAGGAAACAAAAGGAACAATTATTCAATTAGTCTTTTTTTTCGTCTTCTAGCTGTTTGTTATTCTTCTTCATCTTCTTCTACGACTGGATCATCGTCACTGAAGACATTTATTGTTGGTACAAAGTGTGTCGTTGTTGCTATTGTTAGCGATGGTGGTGGTGGTGTGAGAGATACTGACGGTTCAGTTTTAGTTGGACGCATAACAATATAATAAAGTAAATCTGATAATGAAAGTACTCCAATAACATGTTCATCATTATCGACAACAACGAGACGATGTACTTCAGCTTTAATAATACGCTCCATACATGCTGCTAATGTTTCATTCTTATAGCATTTTGCTACAGTTTCAAGACGCTCTTTACGGAAAGATAACGCTTCTTTTATTGTCATATTTAAATTTGTATAAGTTTTATCAGCTGCTAAACCCTAAATTGAAGCAGAATATTACAACGAGACAAAAATTTCAATATTTTACTTACAATGACATCAAATTTTGAATAAATATTCACTAACTTTCTTTGACTGTCAACAACAGGTAATGCGGATATACGATATTTAACAAATTGATTAAGTGCTTCGATTACTGTTGTATTTTCATCAATCTATTTTCAATTACATACAAGATATATATTTATTTATATATGAATATCCCAGCGAAACAATTAGATGTTTAAACTTTCTTTAGAATATCATCCTTGTGATCTTCTAATGTCAGATGAACCCACACCCTCAAAACGTAAGTCTGCGAAATCTTACACTAAACAATTTTATTTAACAAAGAACTTTTGTGCCTTGTAAGATATTATTACAAGATAATAGCAGATATTTTTTGGCTTTTTGAATCTTCAATAATATTATATTACATTTCAATGGAAGATTTCTGTGACTCTACAACCTTGTAAAATATGATCGAAATAAAGTTTTCAAAGTATCGAAGTGGAAATTTCAATTTAGTCTTCTCAACTCTCTACACAGATACGGCAACGATGTTAGCAACGAGTTACGAGAGACGCGACAGATATTTATTGTCTAAGATTCCAGAACGCAGATGAACTATTTCTTCATTGAGTTTCTAAATGGTTAACTAAAAGAATGTCTTCGACTTCTATGTCGATATAGTCAGAACAAAAATATAATTCTACTGAGATTAACTACATCATGTTTTACAATTTAAACCCATAAGAATTACGCTTATAGAATTGTTGCATAATGTCATCTACTTATCCAATAGAAGTACAATCAAGCGAGAAAAAAAGAAATATTTAAACTTACAATATGCATGTCATGATATGTTCCAAGATTTAATTCTTCCAATGTTTTAGACACATATGAAGGCTGTGGCCAATCATAGATCTAATGGCAAAAAAAAAACAAAGAAGAAATATGAAATTTGCTTGAAAATATTTTTATGCATTAATAATGTTTCATTTTCATGAAACTTCGTATATATATATATATATTAAAAACTGAGTTTTTCCTTGTCAATACTTACATATAAATAGAAGAATCGTAATATACGTTTATGTGTTAAAATAAATATAACATTATGAGATATTGGATCAACAATAGGTAAACGATGTACATGATTTTCTATTAAAATACGAACTGCTTCAAATAAACTAGAAAAATAAAATAACAGATTCTGTTTTTTACATTCTATGCTTTGTTAAATGATTACCTATCGGTGGGCTTTATAGATAATAATGGTTTTTCATATTCTCGTAAAACTTCTCTCCATGTTTCAATTCGATGTTCTTCAAGTTCTTCAATTTTTGCATTCGGTTCTTTATAATATTTTTGTAATATAAGAATAAAATCGGTAATTGTTAACATTGCAGTAAATCTTTGTCGTTTCGAATCCCAAATCGGAGCAGCTCGTACACCATTATGAACAAGAGCATAGAATGCTTTTTTTACTGCTAATTGTGTATCAAATACAACAAGTTTAGAACTTTTTGGCATTATATCATAGCACGTATGAGTTTTCATAAAATGTGTATAAATTTCATCATCGCTTACTACAGAAAATAATAATAATTATTAATCAATTAATTAATAATTTAAATGTCTTACCAAATGTATCATCGACATCTTGTGTTGGCGAACACGACTAAAATATATTTAAAAAAATCTTCTTTTTTGAAGAATTCAATTAATAATACGAACTGTTGGACGAATACAATAGACGGATGGTTGATCTGATGAACTACTTTTTGTAATTATGGTTTGACCGGAAAGTGTTTTACTAATACGAGTTGAACCACTTATATGATTTGGACTTTGAGCGCCTAAATACACACACATATGTAATTATGAATACATAAAGTAAATGGGAAATAATTCTGTTATTTGGCTTTACCGCTTCGTTTTGGATCTTGAAAGAGTGCCTATAATAATAGGAGAAAATTAAATTTATCAATGAAATATATATATATAAGTTAAAGTAGATAAAATATATGCATTACCAAATGCAGGTAGGCAAGCAAGCAAGCAAGCAAACATGAAAAGAAATTTTTTCTTGTTCTTCACTTCTGAACATATTCTCCATTCTCTCAACAAATTTTATGTCATGTTGGGCCTGTATCAATATTCAACGAGTATTGAATCCTACGCTACGACAACGACAGAACAATGAATGGAGAGAGAAGGTGTGTGTGTGAAAGAGGAAGAGAAAAGAAACGAGTCTCGTGCCAAAAGATAAAATACGATAAACATTATAACCCCCGTATAACAAATGACATACCATTAATTGGCTTGTTCCTTCACCAGTCGTCCCTTGTTTATTTTGCTGTTGAAGACGGCCAAGTGCTGCTTGTATGCGTAGATTATCGTTACCTTTTGTCATACGTTTATGATATGAAATTGAAAAACCAGTTGGTGCTGATGACATTGATGCATAATATTGTGAATCGGATGTCGGTAATGAGAGAGCATTTGGACCAGCACTAATATTTTTTCCACTTCCACTACTTGTTCTACTTCCACCTCGAATTGTGTTTGAACTTCTAGCACTAGTTATTCTATCATCTTTATTATTTAGACGATCATTATCTGATAATGAACCGGTAGATGTAGTGCGATCATCTAGTTCATAATCGTCATCTTCATAATTATTTGATCGTTGATAATTTGCTGTTAATAAATTATTATTTATATTTTGTTGTTTTTTATAACTATCCATGTTTGTACGAGTATCAATTCCTTTTGTCGATGTTGTTAATAGTGCAGCTAAGGGTTTTTTTGTTTTTTTCGGAAAAAATCTTGAAAAAAGTGATTTATCAGGTACAGACTGTGGGTCAGATTTTGAACGTGAGCGTACACGACCAATAAGAAATTGTTTTGCTGTTGTTGATGCTGAATTTGTAGTTGTAGTTGGTGCCTTTGGAGGTGGTAAAGCTAATGTAGCAACAGGCATAACAGCACTTGCATGTTGAGATAATGTTGCAACAACATTTGAATGTTCACAAATATCACTTTTACCGTTCGTTCCACCACCTGGACCAGATGTATTATTTGCTGGATGTGAAAGTACAACAACTGAATTAGCTGAGATTGTAGCAGCCTTTTTATCATTTGCATTACTACGTGATAAAAATACGGCTTGAAAACGATTTCGTTTCGATGATCCATCGGAATAGGGTTTATTTGGCGAAATTGATCGATCCAAATTAATTTGATCTATTCCAACGGTCGTATTGACTTCATTCTAAATGACGCGTGCGTATGATGTTTGTTTGTTTGTTCGATTTTAGTTTTCGAAATCTTTCATCCTTTTTTTCCCTCGTTTCTATTTCTTACTATTTTTAACTTACCATGGGTTGAATATAATTATTAAGATCCATTTCATGATGCATATCATGGTCATGTTCGTGATCATGCTCATGCACCGTATCGAGTAAAACTGTTGATCGTGTCGGATAGTCACTTGTTGTCATGGTTTATATTTATCAAGACAAAGAAAGTGAATACACACCGAGTAATAATGATGATTTCGATAGGAAAATGTATTCCTACTCTCTTTTTTTTCTTTAAAAAAAAATAAAGTTGTAATTACATTTATATATCTATGTAGCAACCGTACTTTCAATACTCTCGTCTATGAATGCGGCGAGAAAAGAAACAGAAAAAAAAGAGAAATGGCTGACTGAATGAATGATGATGAAGAATATGACGCATTCATGTACACATTTTCTTTTCTCTTCTTTCGTTTTTCTCGAATGATAGAAAGAAAGAAAAAGTGTACATCATTTACATTCGTATACATAAATAAAGGGATACTCGTTGTATGTATGTTTCATCCTGTTGCTTTTAAGTGTAAATACGGAGTAAAGATGGACGGACGAATAGGAAGAACGAGCGAAGCCTACGCTAATCGTTTTTCGTTTTTTTTCGTTTTTTGTCACGCAGCCAACTCAAATGTTCAAAGTGAGAGAATACACATGAGGTCAACAGTATCTTAAGAAAGACAATCGGTGTGTTGTTATTCTTCTTCTTCTTCTTCTCTCTCTCTACTAGGATTGTTATTTGAATAAATCATAACTGAAGAAAAAAAACCAGAGAAGGAGAGCGAGAGAAAGAGTAGTGAAATACGTCACCCGAATTTCTGGATAAAAAGGAGCAAAACAGTATATATACTGAAATACGAAACCTTCCAGACATATTCCGTTCTTTTCTCTTCTTTTCGTTGTGCTATTTCTCGTAGATATAAACATGCCAATCAGTAGGCTTCCACATCTATTAGTGGAATGAACAGAACACTTTTTCTATTCTTATTTCTTTTTTTCTTCTTCTTTTCTCATTTTTTTGATTCATCAAGCAAGTCACGAGTAGATCCAAGGTTTTTTCCTCGAACGTCATCTATTACACATTCAGACGATGGATAAAATGTGTGATGGGAAAAAAAGCGACTGTTGTTCTTTCGCGTTATATTATATATATATATACTCGCACATACATCTATTTATACATTCTGTTTTTTTTCCTTTATAAAGATATATATATATATATATATTTATATTAGTTGCTTTACCCATAGTATTGTCTTATTTCTTCTATCGGCTATATAATCGATGACAAAGAAAAAAAATGTTCTTTTGCGTCTTTACTGCCCTAAATTTCTGGCCGTTACTTGTATTCTGAGTAATAAAAACAGCGCAAAAGAGAAGAATGGGAGAGAGAGAAAGAAATATTATCGACGAAGAAAATGATAGAAAAGCAATTCAACATAAAAAAAAGATGGATAAAACCCACTAGAGTCACACGCATCTTATCTAAATGACAAAATGTCATGCATGCAATGAAAGAAAGTTTTAGAAATACCCATCAGGATCTATCAATGACACCTGTTTATAGGATAATCCCGACTTAGATAATAAAAGCAAATGATATTTAGCGAATCCGGTAACAGAAGCCAGGAGTTCAAAAGTAAGAAATAAAAACTATTTAACAGAGGAAATTTAGTCAACAATGCATAGGAAAAGGTACTTGGTAAATTATTATTTAAACATGATAAACTCGTTTATTTACATTATTGTTTTTCTTCAATGAATCTGAGTCATTCATGTGTATGACGTCAATGGTTCGTTAAAAATTCTACTACTAACTGCATGCACATACTTCCGCACATAAAAAAATTATCCGGTCGGCGCCTATCGCATAGCTATAATTTTGAAAGGGAATTTCTTTGTTTTTCTCTATTTTTAAATATCTAACAAAAAATAAAGTTTAATTAATATTATTTATTTTTATTTTGTATTTACAAGAACATAAATCATTAAAAGAAAAGAAGAATTACGAAGTATGCATCCATTTATTATTCGATGATGATCGAATTTCTTTTATTTTTTTAACACTCATAGACAAAGTGTAAAACGAGCTTTTCCATCGAAATAGCAGTAATCGAAACCTAGTGTGAAATCTTATTATTTTTTGACGAAAAGAAAATTGCTACGATAGCTTCCTGACCGAACAAGTATGTTTAATTTTCCATGCATTTGAAACGGTAATGCATGTAACACAGCGAGTTTTTCAAGTAAAAAGGAGAAAGGAAAAGAAATGTAATTTCTCTTCATCCTTCTGGCATTCATCGAGTCAGTAAATGCATTTATTTGCTAAACACTCAACTATTTTTGTCGTTATTGAAATTAATTGGACAATTCTTAATATAGAAATATATAATTTAGAATTGATTTTTCTATTGAGATGCAGCCTAGATTATTTTTTCCTTCTTCTTATCATACATTAAAACGATATCTAAACTGCTTAGTTTAGTTTATTTTAGATAGGTTGAATATTTTTCTTTCGTTTTGATTAAAAGAAAAACATCGCAAGACTCGATGAAGTAAATTATAACACTCGGAGCCTGAAAAAACAAAAACAATTTCGTTTCAACGATGAAGGTTACATAAAAATGGGTGTCTTAAGAATTTATCGATGAAGCCGATTATTTCTAGCAAACTTTTTGATGCTTATTACATCATTTGCAATGCTATTTTTTTCTTATTTCTCATGGAGTATGTTTTTCTTTCGAATTTTCAAAATATCTTTTCAGTGCTTCTTCATGTTTGCAACATTTCTACGTTGCAAGACATCTCTAATTGAACAAGTACTAAAATCTACAATTTACTTTATTTTTCTTTTTCGAAATTTTGTACTGTAAAGAATTAAATGGTAATGATATGGACAAGTTTTTATTCATGTGTTTCGAGATTTTTCGATTCATATAATGAAAAATCTATTTGATGGTACTACTTCTACCCATAGTGATCACGATAGAATTTGTTTTGAAAAAGCTGTCACTTACGTAGAGCGTCCGACTATAAATTTTTAGAAAATGTCACGATTTTATCAATAATCTCAAGGCGAAATATATTCATAGTAAAAAGTATTTCATGCATACTAAGACATTCGATAGCTCACAGAAATGCTTCTAAATATTTAAAAACCTAAATTATAGTCAGTATAAGCTTGCTCTTTACACTAACTAATTTTTAATTTTTTTTCACTACATCACATAATAGTAGCGTCGATACGTATGAGTAAAAACCTGATACAAGCTCAAAAGAGAAAGTTTTAAAATGTTATCAGAGAAAAACAATGATTTTATCTTCATATAAACTTACTCACTTTATTCCAAATGATAGTAATCTAGGTACTTTCTTCTATCATAGAATCTGTTTCGTGTGCAAAACAAAAACTCGTCGACAATAGGAATCTCGTAAGTAAGCACAGAGTTCTAAAGATAATAGAAGATTTTTATTCTCTTCACATAGATAATAAAGAAATTGACAATATTATCAATATGTTTATTGAAACAGTAACTAATTTAATAGTTTTTAAGTAGAACATCGATGACGACTCAAAAACAAAATGATTCTAGAAGATTTCTGATCGATTATGAAAAATCTATATTCTAGGAAATGTATATTAACATATGGGCCATTCCACCAAAAGTCGCCAGGTTCATCCGGTGACCACGCCCGAATTTCATGAAACTTTCAGCGTTTGTAGAGAAATTTTCGCTGATCGTTTTGATAACAAAACTCTTTTTTCGCGAAGCTAGAGGTCAAATACAAAGAATGCACCTTTTCAACAAAATAAAAAAGACTGGTATTTTTTTCGAAATGGCGATGAGAGTCCCCCGTTTTTACTCGAATTTTAAAATCAACCACATATTCAGACTCATCGTGAAAAACTGCATCAGAAACCATAGAAATTAGAAAACTTTTGAGGAATTTTATACGATCCACTAAGGCCAAGATAATTCACCAGAAAAAACGTAATGTTTGAAAAATTTGCTCAACAAGTTGCGATGAACCAGAATAGTGGCATTGCCAGTGCGATACAGAAAAATTTCCTCTACTAGATGCACTGTCTGTTTTAGCACCCACTTTAAATTTAGTAAGCAACAAGTGCCCACAATACTTTAGATTGTAACTATTCAGAAAAATTTTGATGTATTTATTCATAAAATCTAACCACTTGATCCAATCGGTATTTCCGACTTTCAGCACTTGTAGAATTTTTTATGCTGATCATTTTTGCAATAAATTATTCAATGTTCAATTTTATTTTCATTACGAGATGGGTCAAATAATATCCATCACTATTACCTCCATTTGAAATTATCCATAAAAAACGATACCTCTTTCTCGAAACAAAAGTAATAGCGTAATGCTATTTATGGAAATTCAGAGGCTACTTATATATATGCTGATTGCGCATAAAAAGCTCTGCCAGAATTTCTGTGAAATTTATAAATTTTTTCACATACTCTGATGATGTCTGTCTGATCATACGGGATACACAAGTAAAAGAGAAATGATGAAAAAGGATTTCGAATTAAATAGAAACGTAAACAATCCAAAATAAGAATGTCATTCATTCGATAGCCACAATTTGCTCTACAATATTCATTAGTCACCCAGATCGTGGCGGTACGGCGGGGAACGCTCGGAAAACACGGGAAATCAGTGGAAGGTGGAAGCAGTATTCCGGTCTTAAATTCCAGAATTTTGCTCCGGTGGATTTCGATCAACTTCCAGTGCTTTCCAACAGGAGCCGACAGCAAATCATCGGGAAAAACTCCGAAAATTTTCCGACCGGAATACTGCTTCCACGTTCCAGTGTTTTCCTGCTGTTTCCCGCCGTACGAGTTCGACCTGGGTAGCAAGAAATTCCAGGCATATCCAGTGGTCTATTTACGACACAATCTCAGCGTATTGTTTTTTCATTCTTTTGATATTTTTTAACTACTTAGATTTGTAGCCTATCACGACACCGTGTGAAGTTAAAAGCTATTTTCATAATACAATATTAAATAGAAATGAATGTGATCTATATAAGAACGTTCTTGTGTAGTGTTTCTTTAAATAAAAGATAAATATGTTGCTGAACTAAACTAGAAACTATTTTTAGAAAAAATATGACAAATTAC